GACACTTATGAATATTGTTCAAATTTAGGGATGCACTGTACATACTAATAAATCGTTAGACAAATATTTCAATTACTGTACTCGAACATTGGCAATTTAATTCAAGAAACAAGAATATATTAAATGTCTATATACATAGCTAAAAATAAAATTAAATTAAAGTAATTCAATGCATATTTTACCTCCTAAAATTTTTTTACTATAGGTATATACTTTGAAAAGTGATTAGTTTTTATTACGGAAGTTTATTTAGCCATTCTTAAAATAACTACAGATAAAAAAATATAATGTAGGTAATTTTCAAAGAAAATAAGTAAATGGCTATAGTTAGAATATTATAAGAGACAAATTGTATTAAGCTAAAAAAAATTCGCACACATATTATGCAAATATTAATTTTTATACATAATATATGTTTATTTATTATATAATTTAAATTGTTGTTCTTACATAACAACACAACATATTTCCTTTATTTTAATCTTTTACAGTTTACAGTACTTTATTTCGGCTTTCCAAATGTAAAATTTTTTCGATTCGCGATATTTAAAAGATTTAAATATCGTTTATCGAAACCTTTATCGAATTATTCAAATAAATAAATCTTATAATCTATTTAGATAAAAATAATTTTATTAACACGTTACGATATATCTAAATTATAAGGAAGTTTTTAAATTGGTACTGAACTTTAGTTATAATTTTAATTCAAATGTTATGCAATTATCTCAAAGAAATACCTGTTTTGTTTCTATTCAAATAATTAAAAATGTTGATAAAAATAATAAAAATAAAAAAATATATAATAGCAAAAACGATCATAAAAAAATCGAATCTACATAAATTTCGAATAAAGTCAAGTACAAAATATGTAAACATAATATCTGTAATATTAGAAAAACAAAAAAAAAAGTAGTATTTATGCGAAAATGAAAGATCAAAAAAACAAGCATATCCACTTTCTAACTTTAATTTTAGATGCAAAAACTTTGCATGGCTCCAATACAACTCTTTCAATTTATATTTTTAACTCAAATCTATGTATGTAAATATTCAAAAGAAACCAAAAATAATTGCATATAGAAGACATTAAATGTATACATAAGCATACACACAAACATAGATGGAAAAATAAATTTGTTAAATCAAATTAATAAAATTTTTCAAAACACATAAAGTAAAAAATTTTACCATTTTACCATTTGTGAATTTACCATAGCTAAATTCAAGAAACAAAGTAATTTTGTTTTTATTTGTAGTTTGCTTTAACAAAAATGCCTTTATTGCATTTATTTCAAATTTTAAAGTTTATTTTTATTAAAATCTTCATTAATCAAAAATTTCAAAATTGAAATAGAAATAAAATTGATTTTTTTTATGAAATGGTTAGCAATTTGTGATCATCAAATATTTTGGTTTTTTTATTTCAAAAAAAAAATCTATTTTCAATATTATAGTTGAATCGTTAATTTTAAGACTAAGTCCACTTTCATATTGCAAAGAAAATACTAGAATGTTTTAGTTTAAACAAAGACATTAAAAATAATTTTTAAAATCTTTAGTTTAAAATAATTCAAATAATCTGGTTAATTTATGAATATTATGAGCGTGTGTATGCATCTTTATTATTCTCTATAACTATTTTTAATTTTATATGAAATTACCATTGCTGGGAAAATAAAAATGTTTGAAAATTGCAGCTAAATGAACTTTTAGGTCATTTTTAAGAAAGATTATCCAAAATTATCATAATTTTACTATATTAATGGAAATCTAAAATTATACTTATACATTATTTTTTTATGGTGAGAATCTATGTACAAATACATACATATGTACATATTGTGAAATCCCTATGATGACAATATTAATATTCCATGCTTATTTATTTATAAATGCGATTATTGGACAGTAAGTAAAAATCGTATATGTATCAGATATAAATCAGATAAAAAAGATAATTTTTAAATACATGCACTGTAAAGAATTTTCTGTACATAAAAAATTTTAAAATTTTATTTGTGAAATATGAAAATATCTCACAATAATTATTGAATTGAGTTAAATTGGAAATACATCTAGGTAATATGTTGTATAATTTAATAATATTGTTATAGAATGCAAAAATTTGCTTTTTAAGGATAAGCCGAAGAAAAAACATATAAATTGAGATATGTATATATTTAAATGAATATATGTATATTACACATATAAGTGAAACAATAAGGAATAATTTTAAAAACTATGAAATCGTAATGTCCAAAAGGTTGAAAAATACTATCAAATGGTTTTATAATTATATTTGCAAATTTAAAACTATACATTCAAATGTAAACTACATTCTTCTTTGTGGTTTTCTAAAACAATTTAAAGTTAACTAGACTCATTTAAATTTAATCTTGTTACTAATTTTATTTCCCTTATATTCTTATATCATTTATATTGAATATAACAAAGTATTTATATATTTATGCGAATTGCGTCAGAAATTATAAAAAAAAAATTTATTTTATTTGTTTTTTTTTTTTTGGATTCGATATCCGGCCGTAATTTTTATTTTTATTTTTTGCTTAGATTAACTAAACTAATAAAATCGGCATTTATTTAATAATTCTTGTATTTTTTAATAAGTACATACATATATATATCTTAAAATATAAAAATGTTTAAAAAATTTGTGATTACAACACAAAATTTTTGCAACCGACGTCGTGCCATAGAAGGAAAGTATGTTATTTAAATACAAGTATGTATGTAAACTGCAATTGATTTTAATTCTTATTTTTAAAATAATGCAATGATATTAACAATTTCATATTTTTGCTGCAATTAAACATCTCTTATTGCAATACTGCAAATTGCTTTCCTTTATTCTAATTTTTTCATTAAAAAAAATTTTTAAATTTTAAATCGCAATTTTCACAAAAATGATTGAAAAGAAACTTATGTGCCAACACTGTATTGTTTTATGTTAATTAGTCTAAGGGCCCTGAGAGACAGGAAATTTTTAGTTTTGCAACTGTTTGATTGCTATTCGTATTCCATAGGCTCATATTCGCACACGTATAACTGTATGATCGCATTTAATTAAGCAATCAGACAATTTGTAATTTTTTACAAAGTGATTGAAATTTTTATTTTAGTGCAAACTGCGCATATTTACTTAACAATAATATTTATTTCTGAATTGTAAAACCTATCCTTACAACGGGTCAGTTATTCTTAAATCAATATACAAATTTGAGACCGAATCTATTTTACAATTTCAACATAATTTTTACTGCAAAACGATAATATAAAACGAAAGCACTCATGTTTGTATTATGTTTGTATTCTTCGTAGGGAAAGATATAAAAATCTAAGATGCTTTATATATGTGTCTATTATTTTATGTGTCACTATTAAATTCTATATAGGAAAATTAATAAACAACTAGGTACTTTTTTGTTATTTTTCGAAATTGCAGTTACAGATTTTTCACAAAAATTAAGTACTTTTTAACATTTTTGACAATATTTCTCGGCATAAATATATGTAAGTAAACAAGCAATATGTGCATACACATATATATATAAATTTATGTAATGATACATATATACATACATATGTATGTATATAAAGAAAAATTTTGTATGCCTACTTATAATTATATATAGGAATATTATGTACATATAATCAATTGCAATTTCAAATTATAATATAGAATTTTTCTAAATTTTTGATAAAATATTTAATATAAAAATGTATACATACAATTTTGTACGAAATATGTATTAATAAGATATACATATGTGCACCAAGTGTAGAAATAAATAAATATACAAATTTGAATACAGAATAATAAAATATACACATGTCACACATGTACATATTATGTTTTAATAAAATAAAAATCAAAATATCCCGAAGATAAACATGAAACTCTGCAGATACATTAATTATGTATGTACGCAAGTACTAAACATAAGTACACTAAATTTACATATAAATAGGGTACATACATTCATCTATGTACGTATTACAATATGCGTATAAATTACAATTTCCTATTTTTATAGAAAAATAATATATGTATATAAATGTTAGTACACATTTTAATGCTATATGTTTATATGTCTACATATGTACATGTAAATATTTTATGTATTTAAATCATACTTATTTATAAGCAAAAAGATTCAAACGGAGGAAAAATTATATAGGGAAAAAATCTCAATAAAATACTTACATTATGAATTATATTAATTTTCTACTTTTTTATACTAAGAATTTATATTAATTTTATATTTTTTTTATATAAATGTTTATGTACATATTTTTGTATATACCGCGGTTTGAAATGTCTTCACATATGTATATTATCCATATACAATTTACACGTTTACACATACACAAATAATGTACAACTTAACTTTTTTCGATCGCTCATATTACTCTTTATATTTTCATGTTCTGTTTTTATTTTCTTCTTGTACTTTTTTCAATCTCTTTAATATTTTTCTTTAAGTTCATTTTTTTATATTTTTTTCGGTTTGTAATTTTTTTATATTCTCATTTTTATTTATTTTGTTTCATTTTTTCATTTCTTATCACCTTTTTTTACCCATGGATATTTTACTTTAATGCATAAAAATCTGAGTTTGGTTATAAAAACCATCGTGAGCTTCACTGTATATTCAGTTAACGTTTCGTTACCTTTGAGAAAAGTTTAAACAAACTTTTGATCGGCTCTTTATTCTTAAAATATTTCTTTTTTATTTATATGTACATAAAGCATATTTTTTTTGGATATTATAATCAGAGTTTTGGCAAAAATATGAAATGAAATTATTATTTTAGAGAATTTGAAATTACTGAATTTAGTTGAGTGTTTTTTAACAAAAATTATGATAATTTAAAACTTAAAAAAAAAGTTTACATTGTGCAAATTAAAAAATATACATATAATATTTATATTAAAACTAATAACGATTTTCTCTTAAAAAAAAATAAATTAAAACATGGGGCTCACAGTACCATTATTATTTGCTGTTTTAATAATTTTATCGTTATATTGTTATTTGAAAGTTTTATACGACTCCTTAAAACGAATAAAAATTCTGAATAATAATAGTGATTTTTCAAATTTACGTAAAACATCTGATAAATTAATTAAAAATACTGAAATTACATCAGAAATAATAGTGTTACCTCAAGCACCAGGGCCTTTGCCATGGCCAATATTAGGTAATCTGGCGCTATTGGGGCAATACGATGTACCATTTGAAGGTTTTACGGATTTATCAAAACGTTTTGGTGACATATATTCGCTAACTTTGGGAACAACAAGATGTTTAATTGTTAATAATTTAAATTCAATAAAAGAAGTATTAAATCAAAATGGAAAATTTTTTGGTGGACGCCCCGATTTTATAAGATATCAGAAGCTTTTTGGCGGTGACAGAAGTAATTGTAAGTATTTCAATTTTTGAAGTGAACATTAATTTGCTTCAAAATTAGAACTTTAATCATATCAATTGTTAATTTAAAAAAATGTAGTTAATTTGTAGAAATTTTATAAAAACAAACACAGTTTTTATATTAACATTTTTTGAAGTATACTTACATATTAATAATTGTATGTCTGTGCTAGGAATACGCCATTTTAGTAATATAATCTTCCCATATAACAAATTTTGTTAAATTAAATCATAGCTGCACAATTAATTAAAAGTTTTAAATTGTTTAGGTTAGTTAATAAAGGATACAACATTTATATGACGCTCTTAGTGTTGCGAACACTTTAAAATCAATTCCAAGTTTCTCTTGATTTAAAAAAAAATTATTGAAATATATTTTAATTTCACATAAAACTGTATACATGCTTTCATACATTTATGATAATTCTTCTATTTAGGGGAAAAGTGCAACAAAACTGTATAGGAGAAAAAAATAATATATTTTGGTTAATAAATCAAATTCACTTTCTTTTTCTATATGGCATACATATTTTACATTCGTTACTATGTGAATACACACACACATACATTTATGTATATAAATATTTTCATAGAAAAGTTTCTACATAATTTTTCTTCTCATTTTTCTTTTTGATAAAAAATTAATTTTGTAAAATTTTTCTCCTTAATACACCTCCAGTACTATAGTTACTCGTTAATTATTAACGTATGCATATTTTTGTATATCATATGTATATACATATGTAAAAATAAAATGAAATATTTTATATACATATATGTATACGTATACATTTATCGGCATAACAGCAAAAATTTTTAATTTTTTTTCATAATACATACACACATATATTCGAATATTTTTTGAACGACAAAAAATTTATTATAAATTATGTTAAAAGCATCGTTGTTTATATGTTATACAAAGGCACATTAGCCATTTCTATCATTGACAGAAAAATATTGTCAAAAAAATGATAAAGTTTAATAATGCAAGTATGTATTTGCATAAATGGGATAAAATATTTAAATATGCATATGGCTCATAGAAATATGCAAATGTATACATATATGTATACGAGTTGATATATAGGCAATTAATAATTGCTTACGAGTGTGGTGACATTTAAGAACAAATTTTTTCTTGGATATGTTGAAAATGAAAGTATCGAACGTGCAGTTTTCACAGTCTCTTGTTTTATGTTTTTGACATTTTGTATTAAAAAAATTGAAAGCGGATTGAAAATCAATATATATTTACATATGTATGTACATGTGTAGCTACTTAACATATATGCGCATGTATGTTTTCGTATAATGTTATATTTTCGGTAAATATTTTTCCAAATTAACCGAAAATAAATATTCCAAATAGATTTCTATTAACCCCATTATTTCCGCTATAGTGTCGAAAATTAAAAAATATCAAAAAGAAAATAATAAATTATTTTAAAACTGATTTTGCTTGAAAATATTTTTTTAACACAATATAATTATTATACGTTATAATAATTTGCGACAGCGGATAAAAACCGCCTATCCTTGTAAAAAATTTGCATAAATGTACATACATATATATTTATAATCAAAATTCCTTCGTTTATTCCATACATTAATTATTAATTAAGTTTAATCATAGTTCACAATTTTTGTATTACAAAAATTGTATAAATTACAAAATTTTTGAAGGTTACAACTACCACAAACACAATTATCATCATTATTAATATTGTTCCCGTAATTGTTTATTATATACATACATACAGATATTAAAATTATCATCGTCATTGCATTTAATGACGTCTGCGTCTGTAATAAATTTTTTATCGCTTTATTCTTCTTCTTTTTTTCATTAATTTTGATTAAATGTCAAAAGTACCATTATATTTTTATATGATTATAATATACTTCGTATTCTTCGCTGCATTGATTATAATTTTCTCTAAAAAAACTATTTTATGTCCAAGTACATAAATACATACAAATATAATTTAAAGTAAATCATATACATAATAATAATAATATGTGCATACAAAAATTATAAACAATATAAAAATTGTGATACTATTATATTACTATATTAATACATACCTATTATATAAAACGCAATGAATAAGTCAGTCAATAAAGGTTCACCCAAACAGATTCAAACTACAAAATGTAAACTAAAAATCAAAGTTATGTATATACCAAAGTTATATGAAGTACATAGACTAAGTACAAAATTTAAATTTTGTGCTCAATTTATGGTAAAGTTTAAGATTTATTATGGCTTCAAAAAAATTAAAATTTGGAATAATATTACAGACATTGATCGTGTAAACTCATTTTTTACCAAATATTGCTAATATATTAACAATATACATAATGTCACAAGAGAACTGGGTCAAAAGAAACATGTTCTGAACAGCCTTTTTTATATCGAATAATTACCTTCACAAATAATTCACGAATTATACATATTGTATCTTGTTAATTGTCTTTGTGCTAATTGAATTTATTAAGATCAATTAAAGAAAAAAATATGTGTTACTTAGTTGTACTAAAACAATTCCGAATTTTATAAATCCTCTATTAAATATCCTAATTTCTTTTAATAATGTTAAAGAAAAAGGAAACTAAAACAATAAAAAAAGAAAAATTCAAAAATTATAATCAATAACCGAGTTAATACCAGACATATAAACAAAAATGTCCTTGAATCGTTTAAGCACGCGATCATCAGTAAAAAAATTTTAAATTCACTTTGTGTTCCACAATACAATATTATATTACATAAAAAACGTGTACAACAACTTGTATTAATATATGTATGTTTGTATATATGTATAGAAGTACCACTATGTATATAAATATCTTATTACTATGCATGTAATAAAAACAACATGTGCAAAAATCAAGTGAAAAGCCCTCAAATTTGGTTAAAAATATATGAATGATGATAAGTAGTTGCCATTGAACTTCAAAAGTATAGCGGTTAGCGGATAAAGAATTCAAAACAAATTACACTACTCTGTCTCAACGATTAATCAAGATATTGTAATGCTTTAGCACAATGTAATACACTTCGTATGTGTAATTTTTTAAGTTATAAACTTTTAATAATGTAGAATTAACTTGAGAGAGAAAAACAACTTTAAAAAATTAATAAAAAGAAAAGAAAAATATGGTGCAGAATTCTTGAATTATATAAAGTATGTATGTACATATTATGTGCTGAACATATATACATACATACATAGTTTGATGTATAATTGAATTAATGTTATATGTAGCATACATCAACAGAATATGCATGTGCATGCATACAAGAATATGTATATAATATACATTTAATCTTTACATTTTATACTACATAATAGTATATAATAGTATAAAATGTAAAGAATAAATGTTTACTATACATTTACTTTTATATTTTATACTATACTATACTATACAATAGTATAAAATAGTATAATATGTATATACTCACAGTATATATTGGCAAATAAATAAGTTTATGTATGTATGTATCTACATATTATATTATGTAAGTTCAAATTAGAAGATTGAGGAAACTTAATAAAAGAAAATGTAAAAGAAATTTATTAAGCATTCTGGCTTTTATAATACAAGCACACATACATATAGAATGTATATGCATCTACATATTAAATTTGGAAAATTTTTATTTAAAGTAAATTTCTTTATTTTTCTATTTACTTATAGCACTTGCATTATGCGATTGGTCTCAGCTACAACAGAAACGTCGGAATTTAGCTCGTAAACATTGTTCACCAAGAGATACATCATCATATTTTGCGAAAATGAATGATGTTGGCTGCTTTGAAATGCAAGAATTCATGCGAAAACTATCAAATAGTCTTCAACAAAATAATGAATTTCATTTAAAGCCATTAATAATGCAAACATGTGCAAATATGTTCTGCCAATACATGAGCTCCATCCGATTTGATTATGAAGACAAAGAATTCCAAACTGTTGTACGTTATTTTGATGAAATTTTTTGGGAAATTAATCAAGGTTATGCTATTGATTTCTTACCTTGGCTATTACCATTTTATAAAAAACATATGGATACTATAGTAAATTGGTCAACAACAATACGAAACTTTATTTTGAATCGCATTATAATTAATCGAGAAAAAACTGTTAACATTGATGAGCCCGAAAAAGATTTTACTGATGCATTATTAAGAAGTTTATCTGAGGATAGTGATGTTTCACGAAACACAATCATATATATGTTGGAAGATTTTATTGGTGGTCATTCAGCAATTGGTAATTTAGTAATGTTATCTTTAGCAAGTGTTGTTAAAAATCCGTCAATTGGTAAAAAAATACAAAATGAAATTTATGAAATAACTGGTGGTGAAAGACCGGTAACATTAATGGATGTCGACAAAATGCCATTTACAGTTGCAACAATATATGAAGTACTTCGGGATTCCTCATCACCAATAGTACCACATGTTGCTACAGAAGATGTTTCAGTAGGTGGATATGGTGTTAGTAAGGGTACTTTAGTTATTATCAATAATTATTTATTGAATAAAAGTGAAGAGTATTGGGATCAACCAAATGAATTTAATCCTGAACGTTTTATTGAAAGTGTTCAAATTCCATTTCCTACAACAAAATCAAATCAAATTGAAGAAAAATTTATTAAAGAAAATGAAGTAAATAAAAAGAAAATTGATAAAAACAATTATGAAAACGAATATCAAAAAAAATATATGGAAGTTAGAAGATTAAAAAAGAATATACCACATTTTTTACCTTTTAGTATTGGTAAAAGAACATGCATTGGACAAAATCTAGTGAAAGGTTTTGGATTCATAATGTTAGCAAATATAATGCAATCTTATAACATATCTTGTAGGGATATAAATAAAATTAAAACTTATCCGGCTTGCGTGGCATTACCACCAGATACGTTTTCCTTACAATTAACGCAGAGAATATAAACAAATTAAAAAAAAAACAGCAACGATTAAATAATTTGATTTTTATATACATACATAAATTCATACATATTATATGCATATGTATTATTACATGTAGACAATTAATTTTAAGATTAGTATTATTCGTTTAGTATAAAAATTAGCTTTATTTTACGTTAATTTATAATAGAGACTTCTTTTAAAGCTTAAAATACGTACATACATATATATTATACATGTTTGATTATATTGATTTTAAATGCAATATTCTTTATTAGAATTAAGAAAAAGTCTAACAAAAACGAAACTTATATTAAATAATTAAAAGTCAAATTCTTTTTTCGTTGGTGATTATCTAAAAATAATTTAAAATCGTTAGTACCTATCCAGTTCTAAATTAAATTTTATTTTCATATTAATTTATGCAAACACGTTCCGAAGTGTTAACATTCCCTTTTAGTAATTCTGATATTCAAGTACTTATACATATACATACTTAGGCACATATAAAATATTGAACATTGGAAATAAAAAGTAAACTTGAGTAAACCAAAATAAATTTTAAAGCAGACTTATGCACACATATGTACAAATGTATGTAAAAAATAACAATTTTTATTTATTTTTATTTCTGGATAATCACTATAATTATGATTGTGAAAAAATTACATCAAAACCAATTTTAATTATTTAAATGAATTCAAATTTTCCAGTATACACATGTGTTGAAAGAAATTTAATTACACAACATTTACATTTTATTAAATTAAGAAAATTATTTAAAAATTTAAAAAAAGTTTAATTTTGTTTTGTATTTGTACAAAAGTATATACATAATTAAAGAGATTTTGTTATACTTGATTTACCATACTTATACACTCTTATACATATTATATTAGTACATAAGTATGTAATTCAATTTATAAAAGTAATTCAAATAATAGCTTAGAAGTCGTTCTTAATTATATGTTGTACATATGAACCCTTTTTTTGTTAGTAACTGTTATATACAAATCCCATATTTCTTTATTATTTTTCACTAAATGTAATATTGACAATATACATATAATTAATTGTATAGCAATATTTTTTAGACTAAAGTTTCTTATTAGTTAAGAATTATATATTTTACCATAATTTGTAAAGTAAGTTTAAATATACATTTAAAGGTTTATTTATAATATAAGTTTAAACAGACTGCAACTACTAATTAAAATAGTTTAATTATATATACATACACTATATAAAAAAACTTTTTATACATTATAAATACATACTTATAATTTGTATTTTTTGAAATTATAGCAATTATATTTAGGGAAACCCTGTGAATTTCAGCTAAAACATTATAAATTAAAATATGCAACTTTAATATAAATATTTTATTGAAAAAATTAAAATATAAATTGTTTTTATTTTTATATAGATACATATAGCATTTTTTGAATTAATGAAACCATTTTCGAGTATAATGAAACTTTGTATGCAAAGCGACTGGTATAATCCTTTTTGAACAATACTTTTTTTGATTGATAACACTTTCATTTTCTCAATGTTTAAAGTTTTTTCAAGTTTTGTAAAGTAAAATTTAAGATCTGTCTGGTATAAAGCTTGAAATAAGTAATAAGTAGTTTAATGATGTAATTTCTCCCTAAAAGTTGAAAAAAATTTTGAGAACTTTATAAGTAGGTGATAACCGTCAAATTTCGAAATATTTATTAAACATAAATAAATATTTGGTTATACAAAAAATCTAACTTAGAAAAAATCAGTTATAAATCCATTTTGTTTATTTTATTTTTAACTAAAAAGTTTTGAAAAAGAATTATTGTTTATGAAAAAATTTTTTTTGAACCATCTGACATAATCAAAAAAATTGTATGCTGCGACAGCATCAAGATTTTAGAAACTTTTAAAACACTGAATTTTACTTTACAAAAAACGAGACATGTAATACAGAACAATACCTCTCACTCGATAATTACATTATATAAATACATATATGATAGTTACTCACTTTCTTCTCATTTGGTGAGTAAAATAGCAAAATGCCCAATCAAGCTTTTAATGAAATAGATAAAAATGAATTAGATTTGTTAATATCATTATAATATTTTTTACACATATGTACATAAATCAATAAAATATAAATTAAGAAACAATCAAGTATTGCATAAGTATTTGTTATAAAAAAAAAAACAAAAAAAGATGAAAGGTCAGCCGAAAAATAAGAGAAGTCCGAAAAACAAGGTCCGATGCTTCGAAAGGAAGTAGAAAAGGTAAAAAAAATGTCTGTTGCTAAAATAAGTTGAAAAAAAAATATTTGTTGTTATATTATGTTAAAAGTTAAATATTGTTTTTTAAATAACTACCATTACTTCTTTGAAAATGTCTTAATCTAATTTATGAGATGTACGATTTGAATAACGCTGGGCTTGTACATATTATAAAAAATTATCTTCACGATGACGTCACATTTTCAGACGTTAAAACTATCCAGTAAACCTTTTTTTTTCTTAAGAGAAAAATCATAAAATGATAAACTTGTCACGCAGTAGAGAAAATTTGGGAAGCGTTGGCTTTCCATTTCATTTCAGCAATCAAATACGAATTGTCAAGTGCCAAACGTCATATTCATATAAAAAAAGAAAAATATTCTAGTTCGCAAATAATAAATATTATTTTTATCAATATTATTTAACAATGTACTTCATTTAAACACATAATCAAAATTATGCTGAAATAATCCAAATAAAAGAGTAAGAAAAAAATATATTTTTATCTGTTACAAATACTCCAAGTCTTACTTATGTTTGCCTATCGATTTATGTTTTTATAAAATTAAAATGAAAACCGCTGACCGAGTATATAAGGTACTTTTCTACTGTTACAGGACTAAATGTTTGACCAATAGAGTTTCGTTTCTTTTTTCAGGATCGTGGTAGTAGATCATCAGTGTTTCATATTGGTAAGAATAAATAATATATTGTTTCGAAACTTTAACATGAACTTGAACATAAATTTGCAAAATCGATAAATAAAGTCCAGACATTTGATTTTAAACCAGTTAAACTTAATAAAAATTGTAAAAATTTTTTTAGAAGAAATTTTTATGCATTCAAAATTATTTTATATTATATATACATATAAAATTACGTATTTAAAAATTTATTCTTTAAAATAGAAAAATATATTTCTATTAAAATATTATTATATTAATAGTTTATATAATAATTAATAATTTATATAAATTAAATAAATTTTTCGTATAAATATAGTGAACGTAATAAATTTTTTAGGATACGGTAAAAAAAATGTACATAACATTTCTGAGATCTATGGGATAATTACTTTAATTGTCGTAATTCTCTTGGGTATTCTAACGAGATGGAATTATAAAGATAATTTGCCAAAAGCTCTCAGCCATACTGATCTTATGCACAAATCAGCTACTTTTTTAGGTGATAGAGCATGGAGAGATCTTAGAATTTTGACTTCATTTGGAACGAGGCCCACTGGATCTTATGCAAATGAAATATTAACAGTTGATTTTCTAAAAAGAGAATTTGGTTTCATATCACAAAATGCTCACAAAAATCAGAAACTTGATATAGATGTTCAGGTAAAAATCCAAAACATTTTAAAATATTACTGAATTTATTTAAAAAGTACAATGCAGGTTGTTAGTGGTTCTTACTACATTCCTTTTAAACCGCACGGTATGACAAATGTTTATCGCAACGTTCAAAATGTTATTATGAAAATTAATGGGCAGACAAATCATACTCTAATGTTAAATTGTCATTTTGATACTGTTGCTGGAAGCACAGGTGCAGGCGATGATGGTGCAATGTGCTGTGTTATGTTAGAAATTTTACGTGTATTATCGAGACAACCCAAAATTAATAAGCATAATATATTATTTTTATTCAACGGAGCTGAAGAGACACCATTACAGGCTTCCCATGGCTTTATCACTCAACATAAATGGGCTAAAAACGTTAAAGGTATTTGCCAATTTATTTTTATTTTTTTGTAAAAATAAATGCAAAAATTCTTAAACATTCAGCGTTTATAAATTTGGAATCTGTTGGATCAGGAGGAAAAGAGCTACTATTCCAATCAGGTCCGAATCATCCATGGCTAATTAAAATGTATGCTAGGGCGGCGGCACACCCTAACGCACAAGCAGCTGCTGAAGAAATTTTTCAATCCGGTTTAATTCCTTCAGATACTGACTTTAGAATATTTAGAGATTTTGGCAACATTCCAGGTGAATAGATAAAAAATAATATTTTTTTAAATATTTGTGTTTTTTTGTAAAATAATTGGTAATGTTAAAGGGTTGGATTTCGCACACGCTGTGAATGGATATAGATATCATACTAAATTTGATCATATAGATTTTATTTCCAAAAATGTGATACAAAATACTGGAGACAACATTTTGGAATTAACCAAAATAATAGCGAACTCGAAGGAATTAGGAGAAACATATGTAATATAAGCATACAAAATGCCTGAATTGATTAAATATTTTTTATTTCTTAGATGCATTCTCAAGGAACTGAGGTATATTTCGACATTTTAGGTTTGATTTTTGTGTCTTATTCAAAAGATTTTGCAAAATTTTTTAATAATGCTGTAGTCATTCTAAGCATCGTTCTTCCTTATTTATTTTTGTCGAAAGCGACAAGAGGTATTTTGTCGAATTTTCAAATTGCTCATTATATTTTTTTATGTCATTAACATCTCATTAATATTATAGGTATAAATAAGAAACATTTGAGGTATGAAATAATTTTTGGTTTTTTGATAAATACTATTTGTCTTGTAAGTTCAAATGTTGTCGGATATTCTATAGCATATGATTTAGACATTAATGGTCATTCTATGGCTTGGTAATTTATTGATTATATTATGTAATAATTATGTACGTTAGTAATATGAAATCATTTAAATTTTAAGGTACTCAAATACATCTTTAGCTATTGCTACTTATTGTGTTGTTAGCGTGTTAGTACAATGTGTAGTTCATGTCATATTTAACAACGATAAAAGTGTAAGACGTTAGAAATACGTTTATGTTCTGTTACATCAATATTTAAAAAACGTTCTTTTAAAATTTTAGACCCCATTAAGCTTAGGTTTAAAAACTCAAGCTAGACTTTGTGGAAGCAACTTATTTTGGGGTCTTTTAACAGCCGCTATAACCCTAGCTGACTACCGCATTGGTTACGTGTTTATGGTTCCGTTGTTAATAACGCTAATAACCAATATTATAACTGGTTTATTAGATCTTCATAATACGAGTAAATACAAAAAAGTATATTTAAATAAATTATAAATAATTGAAAATAATAAAATTTTTAGTTATGAAATGGCTTTATGTTCATATCATTGGACAAGTGTTCGTAGTTTTGTGGACAACGCATTTTTATACCGCTGTAATGGAAGTTTTCATTCCAATAGCTGGAAGATCTGGCGGCCTAAAAAATCCCGATATTTTGATTGGGATTATATGTTGTTCACTCACATTTTTTATAATGAGTTGTATTACTCCGTTAGTGATATTATTAAGACGATATTCAAATTTGTTTATAACGTTATTAGTTATTTATATTGTTACTCGTTGTTATATACTAGGCGTCACACACTATGGGTTTCCGTATCGTGATGATTCTAATGGAGCACCTGCTGTGCAGCGTCATTTTATAGCAGTATTAAATCTTTTATAAATATCTTTTATTAAACAAATCAAATTATATTAAACAGTTACAAATACATTTTTTACGAATTTCCAGCATACCGTTCGCACGCTTTATGACAGTGAGGGAAATGTCCGTTATACGGATTCTGGATTTTGGTTTAGGGAAGCTGATAGAAATGCTAAAAAAACAATTGAATCTTTAGCAATGCCAGAAACGCCAATACCGCAAGATCAAAATATTCTTTGTGAGAATGAAGTATTTTGCGGTTTACCATTTTATTCGTCAAGACAACTCCATACTGGGTAATAAAAAATTCAAAATTTTTAATTATTATATTTGTATCAAAATTTTAGAGGCTACTGGGTACCAGGACCAGCACCATTAGTACGTGAACTTTGTCAGTTCAAATTGACAAACCGTTCAAGTTTAACTCCTAAGATACATCGTTTGAATTTTTCCTTAAGTGGAAGTTATGTGATATCCTTACAAATCCGACCAAAAGAAAGCGTTAAATTAAAAAGTTGGAGTTTTTTGAACTCGGTTCCAAACCCCAACATATATAATAAGCAAAAAGCATATTTTGTAATGATAACCCATGGCCTGGAGGCTAATGGAATGAATATAACAATTGATTTTGAAGTAAGATCACATTGTGCATATATATGTATATATATGTGTATCTAATATGTGTAAAAATTGAAAAATTTTTATATCTTTTTATATTGTTTCTAGACCAACAATGAAAAATACACCAAGCCGTTAGTAGATATTTCTGTGGTTACCTGGCATTGGGAATATTATAAAGAACATACACCAACTTTTGCAAATATTTTAGCTAAAGTACCAAAATGGGCATTTGCGGTTCCATCTGTGGCATCTTTAACTGCTTTCACATTCTAGAGCGGAAAAAAATATGTTCATTCTAGAGTTTTTTATTATAATCAGAAAATGAATTTTTTGAGTATCGGTCGTTGAAGAGGAGACATATTGTTGATAGATAAATGCATAATTGATTTAGTCAACATTACTATAAAACAATAAATTTTAATATTTGAAATAATTTCAACTCCTCTCCCTTTTTATATTGACTACATGCAATACGTGTAAAAGGTAATAAAGATGTATTAATATTTAACCCGCTTACAATCACAACAAATTTTTAATGCAAAATCTTCTTAAAGTTTAATTTCATAAAATATTGACAAATTGTAATAGTGGTGAATAAAAACATTTACATTCATTTTCAGTTATTGTTAAAATTAAATAAAAAGTAATTGTGATGCCAGATATATCTATCTATTAACAGATAATATATTATAGGTAATGCCAGATATATCTATATATTTATAGATAGATACATCTATAAATACCTACAGATATATCTATATATTTATAGATAGATATATAAGGCATTAGGTAATCGTTTAAATATTCTAAGATCGTAAGAGATGTATGTCAGATTTTGGAGAGGACTTAAAAATATTATTTAAACTTTTTAATAATTAATAATAATGAATCGTTAAGCTTAAAAAAAAATAACATTAAATTTTTTAAATTAAATTTATTCTTCATTTAGTTCATCTGTGAAAGTCGCAAGGATCTGGTCTAGCAAATTTTTATCCTTAGATGTTTCATTCAACTCCGTATCACTATTTACAACAGCTACATTCTCGATAACATCATTGTCAATTCTGACACGCTTTGGAAAATTTGAAATATCTGACTGGTCTAGTTTCAATTCGTCGTCTTCGGAACACTTTTGCATATGCTTATGCAACATTCGTTTTTTAGGGCAAGGGATTGCTTTTGTATCGCAATTTAATATATTTTCTGTATTTTCTGTAATGTTTTGTCCACAATCAATAGTTATGTTTTCTGAAAAACTGTTATTGCATTCTTCTACCGATGCGTTAGGTTGGACTTTATCAGTAGGCACAAAAATTTCTACATTATTCTCTTTTTCTAAAAGTACATTTTCCTCTTCGTCTATTATTTTGTCATTTTTTACAAAATCGTTAAGAGTTTGATTGATGGGGCTTGTTGAAGTAAATGTACTGGCTTTTGGTTCTGCAAGAATTTCATCTTGATTCCCGAGATTCTCACTGAAAACACACGAAATATTTTCTACGTCATTTTCACTATCATATGATTGTTCTCGAATTTCAAGTGCGCTTTTCATATTATTCAGTTCCGGAGGGAAATACAAAGAATGCTTCTGAGGATGTAAAATTTTTTCCAAAAATATTAAACGATCAGTACAACATTTTCTAACTCTGCTGCAATAATCATTTGTTTGTCCTTCTATTAGAAGTTGAATAATCATGGAGGTTGGTGGTGGACATAAGCAATGTGGTGAAACAACTAATACACTCAAATTTTCATATAATTTTTCACGGCATAAACTATTTGAATATAGCGAAATTTTCGAAGTTCTAGTTTCAAATAATGTTAAACATAGATTAATAATTTTTTCTTGAATTTCCTAGAAATAGAAATGTAAAAAATTATAATTCTTACAAAAACCAATTCAAAATACTTACTTTTATAATAAGCGGTTTCACAAAGCAAGAGCAATAAATATAAGCATATTTCAAAGCCGTTAATGCTATAAAGCAAATATTTTGGTTTTGTTCATTATTGTAAGTTGATTGTGCGCTCTTTATTCCACTCATGTGAAGTTGTGCCAAGTGAGTTCTTTCATTTTGAGTTTTCTGTAGTTGGCGTCTAATTTTCTTAGATATGTGTCTCTTGCTATCATTTAAGACCTATTTGAAAAGGAAATAAGAACTTTTTAATAAAATACCAAATTTTTGCGAATTTCGATTTACTTGTAACATCATTTCATTTTGAAAAGGCGTAATGTCATTTTCAATTTCTCTAAAAATTTGTTCAAATACTAGTTCACAGCAACTGCCAAACTTCATTGTTTGACACCATATCACTAAAGTATTGTAGATGGCAATTCGAAGGTCGCTTAATTATATTTTAATATTAATTTCAATATTCGGAAAAAGAAAATCTAACACTAACCTATACGGTTTTTTAAAACCATCATACTTTCCGGTAGAGGTCCACTTCAAAGAATCAGTAATCAAAGATAAGACTTGTGTTTGATAAATATTTAAATGATTTTTCAATCTACAAAATTAATTATATATATACATATATGTATTGTATTTGATAATTTTATTTATTAAAATTTATATAGTTACGTCAAAATTAGAGTTGACAAAAGTTTATATAATTCAAGTTGAATGTCGGGCAAAACTGCACCTAACACTATGTTATCCAAAATTAAATTTTGTTTTAAATTATCACACGTGATATGCAGTCCTCTTGCAATTAAATTTAAAATTTTCCTTGGTTGTATGGCTTTTGAAACAGGAAATGGATCTCTTAAGAAAATAGAAAACTGTATCAGCGATCATACACAAACTTTAAAGTTCTTACAAAGTTACCTTATTGCAATCATTAAGTAATTTACAAGATTCTTAAATCTTGTCGTCAGTTGACCGGTTCTCGACAAAGGTTCGTCACTTAAATTCAACGGATATAAATCCAAATTATATTCTTCCTTTTCAAAATCAAAATACTCAGCACAGTTAATGAACAGCAAATCTAGGATATTGTGCAACGAACCTAAAAGTTTTAACTGATAGGTTTTCCAAGAAACTTTTTGGCTATTACCGAATGCTGACCCTCCTTTAACCTTATACCATATAAATAAATAAAATCATTCTATTGAACTAAAATAAAAATAGTTCTTACTTGCTGAAGTAAATGTAAGCATATTCCAGACAGTTTAACGAAGTTTTGTTCAGAAGAATCAACGAAGTTCTTAATTAGAAACTGCTCAATTAAGTTACGTGAACCACCTCCGCAAGAACCAGGATAATTTTTCAAACAAATTGATAAACACTTTAGTGTTGAAAGATATGAATTAGGTTCAGATAAACGCAACATTTCGCATATTTTTCCAACATAATTTCCAGAAAAAGACTTTGCCAATTCTGGAATGTTACATGACTTTTCAAGTAAAATACCTACATTAATATATATTAAATAAAAATATGAACTTTAGTAATAAGCTTTAATAACTTAAGTAATAAGCCAAAAATAAAATAATTGAATATACCCAGTATTTCATATGCTAGAGATACCAAAGAGTTTCCTCTATTTTGGCTGCAGATTTTCAGACAAGTTGTTGTCCACATAATTCCTTTTTGTTCAATAATATCCAAATTACATTGTGTAAGAAAGCAATGTAACAGAATTAGCCCTTCCTCTTGAGATTGTTGTTTATTTATTTTCTGGGCTATATTCTGGTAAACTGCCTCCGCTTGTTTTCCATGCTGTAGTTTTAAAATATATGTATTAAATTTGAAATAATTTGAAAAATTATTTTGCAAACCGATAAACGAAAGCTCTGATGGTTTATTAAAGATCTTTTGTACAAAGCATCAAAGAATTTACATTCTGATATTTCATGTTGTATTTTCAATAAATCCATATTTCAACGTTTCATCTATCTTTATGTAACTAAAAACCTAAACTAAAATAGTGCATATAATATTTTAGTTAATGAAATTTCACTTTTAGCCGCACTTTATTTTTTTTTAACTAATTAATTAATATGTTTTCATGCAAATGTAATTGTTTTCCTTTTCCACGTGTTGATATGATAAATACAGAGTTGCCAGAAATACTTCAAATCCTTTTTTGATTGCTTTTGAATTTTGAGTGGTCGCCAAATATTTTAATTTCGAATTCCAATGTACTTTTCCATACTATTCATTCTTCAATTTCTCCTTTAATTTTGAATATAATTTTATTTCCACATAATATACCTATCCATAGAATCAAAACTATATTCTTTTTTATATTTACATAGCTTTATTTGAAATTTGATTTCGAAAAGAAAATAATACGAAATAAGTGTGGATAAATACACTTTTGTTCGCTTAATATTAAACGAAAATTCAAAGCAAACGGTAAGAAACAACAACGAAAAAAAATTTCACTTCATAGTTGACCTCAAAAAATCATTGTTTAAAAAGAATAAAACAGGTATTTAATAACTACAAAAATGTGAATTAGTTTTTAAGAAAGCAGAGCGAAACGTTATAAAAAAACTGATGTGAAAGATGAACACGACCAGTATGGAAATGATTAATAGAGTACAACATCAAGTGTTTAGCCGCAGCTACAACTTGAGTTAAATGGTTTGACATTTATAGCTAATATACACTAAGAAATTTGACTAAAACAGCTAATTCATTTTTCTTATATATTCCGCACAATAGTTAGCTAATTATCTAGCTAATTTATTAATTGATTTAAAGTTTTTATCAAATAAACACTTTTGATGTCTAAACATCCCCCTATTAGTTTTGCTAACAGACGTTTAACTAAAACTTTATGTTAAATATGAATGTATTTGTTACAAAATTCAAATTACCAAATTTTTGAAAATTTCTGTTTATATTAATCTTAAGCTTGATATAAAATTGTATCTATAACATTAGAACTAAATCCACAAAAATACCACTGAATTCATATGTACTTATGTATGTATTTACTTTTTCTCTTTAATTAAATATACAAATACTTTATTTATTTTTGAATAAAATTTCAAATATACATTAAGATAAAAAATCTTATGACGGTTTACATTATGTATGTGTATTTTCATATCATAAAACAACATATTATATAAGTTCGAAATTAAAGTCATTAGTTGATCAGCTAATATTGTTTTTTATCTGATTTTAGTTTTGAGTTAACCATGTCTTTGAACTGTGATAGTATTTTGTTTTCTCTCTTTTGTCGTTCTTCTTTACTAAACATAGCTAAAGCTCGCTTTTCGTCGGCAGAATAGATCTGGTTTTCTTTTCTAATACGTACAGCTTCCATTCGCCGATGTCTGCTTCCACTCATGACATAACCTACTGATTCAAATTTCGCGATTTCGTCGGAAGTTAAGCCAATTTCACCTCTTCTTGGTATTCGTTTGCCTTCAGCTATATAAGCAGCCATAGCAGCCCCTTCTCCTGGCAATAAGGCATGTCCAAAGTCTTTATGAGTTAATCCAGTTGTTTGTCTTGGAACAGGTCCTACATCATCATCACTTGATTTATCATTAGAAGAAATTAGTTCTCCTTTATTAGAAAGCTCGTCATTTGGATTAAAGTTTTTCAACTCTGATGTTTTTTCTATCCACTCTTCTTCAAATTCTGTTTCAGATGATTGTTCTGAAGTAGAAGAGTGTTTGTATTTTTTCTTCTTCTTTTTCGTTTTCCTTTTTTTTTTCTTTGATTTTTTTTCCTTTTTTTTCTTAGCTGCAACAACTTTTTCTTTTTCTTTAATCTTTTCTATATAATCTTTTTCTTCATCTGAAGATGTTGTTATTTCTGGATGAGTAGGTGATTTTCCCCAAGCCGCAGAGCTTCCTTCGGCTCCTATCATTTCTCTTTGTATTCTTCGTGAATCCATAAAATTAATTTTATGCGAAAGACGATTTTTATGCCCATTATCTTTTTTAAGTTTCTCATAAAATTTGTCATGTGGCCAACGGTCAGCATTCTTTTGTCTACGATTTTTATTTTCATCTGCATATCGAGAGCTATCACTTCTGCTTCTACTTCTTCTATTAGAATAATATTCTTTTTTGGGAGTTGGGCTTCTACTATAACTTCGCAAATTGTTATTTCGTTTATTACTGTCAAAACTATTATTTGAAGTGCTTCGCCTATAATTACTCTTATAGTACTTTGTTGATTTAACTTTTAAACTTTTAGAACTGCTTCTACTTTGCCTAGAGCGTTTTTCACGTTCTGGAGTTCTAGTTTGGCTGCGAGATCTGCTTCTATTACTATTAACAGAGCATCTTCTCCTCCTATTTTTTTCACAGTTTCGACTATTATCATTGTATATATTGCTTTTCTTTTCATAATTATCTCGTCCTGAATATTTTGGATCTGGAGTAATTGATCGACCCATTATATTTAATTAAATATTTTTTTATCTTTATTATTATGTATTTCTATTAAAAATAAAAAACAGTGTCAAAGTAACGTCAGTTTCAAACGTCAAAAATTTTTTTGGTCTGGCCACAATTAGTTTCCAAGAGTCATTATTGCCACTATTTATGTACAAAATAGTTTATTCTATTTAAGATATTGAAGTTCATTTTGAATCATTAATTATTTTGTTTATGATTTTGACATGAAGCTTTCCCTAAATAAATATGACATCATTATTTCAGTTTTAATGTAAGTTTTATTGGCTCAGAATTATACCAAAAGTTCTGAAAAAGCAAAAAAACCTTTTTATAATATATTTTTACTCAAACTAAAACTGATTTCAACTAAAAGCTCGTTGAATCAGAATTACACTCGAATAGCACAGCATTTTCTAATATTTTTTAGTGTAAATTAATCAAACACAGTTTAGCCACAATAATATTGGTGTAACTCTGAGGGAACAAAAGCAAGTCGAAAAATTTACGCAAAATCTGTGATTATTGAAATACAATCAATAAATTTTCTTACATGATATTTTCATATTATCTCTATTGAAACAAACTTATTAAACTATGATATTGAAACAAAGTCGCTCGTTCAGATTAATTTAGTTTTAATATCTACAACGCAAGTCTACTTACAAGTTCATAACATTTTTAAGTTTCAGACTTCCATGCATAATATTGCGAATAGAATTCCATTCTACATAAAATGTAAAGTCAATAATGGAATGAATATGTGTAGTCACTTTCATTGTATACTGAAGCTAGGAGTGTAATACCTGGTGGAAAATTCTCTGGTTCGTCGATTTTGATGGACGGTGGTTTAGTTTACTCAACACCGGTTGTTAATTTGATTCAACTCCATCTTTTGATTGACAGTGGCCAATTTAACATTAAAGTGACTTAAAATAAAATCGTTCAACTTTTTGTATCTGTTTAGAATTAGACAAAAACTATTTTTAAAACTACCATTCTATGCTTTATTTGGAAATTATTGTCATTTTATTAATTTAGTAATCTATGGTCATTACAAGAATTTTAGTTCCATTCCAAATTGTCATGACCGTCAATCAAATTGAAAGGTAAGGTAATGTTATTTTGTTTTTGTTGCGTTTTTACAAAATAGTTGGAGTGGGACGTGCGAGCGACAAGTATTAAATACGGAATAAAACAGGAGAGAAATTTTGTGTAACCAAATATTATCAGTTATCTTGTAATCGTATTTCAGTATATTAGCAATGGCATCAAAAACATCAATTTGTATTGTAGGTTCTGGAAATTGGTATGAGACTTTTGTTTATTTATAGTGATAATAAAAGTTGATTTTTGTTTTGTAACTGGTCGAAAAAATAGTGCATTTACGAATCAAGGTTATGTTAATGTGTGTTTGTGTGGATGTTGCAAAATAAATATTATATAATATGTGAAGAAAAATTATGTCATATATGATAATTCATTTTATATTTGTGTTTATATAATCTGGTATATTTTATGGATATCTAGGGGGTCTGCAATTGCTAAGATAGTTGGAAAAAATGCAGCAAATTTACCAAATTTTGAAGATCGTGTTACGATGTATGTATATGAAGAAATGATTGATGGAAAGAAATTAACTGAAATCATTAACACTACTCATGAAAATGTCAAGTATCTTCCAGGACATAAGTTGCCCCCTAACGTTGTAAGTATGCAAATATCTATAAGGAATACCGAAAAAAATAACATTGCGTAACATATATTCGTATGTTATTACATGGCTATTAAAGTTTATTACTAAATATTTTTACGTGGCAAAAAAAAAAAAAAAAAAATAAAGAGACTGAAAGGATCAAGTAACACAACATATTAAAAGCTTATAGTAAATTTGTAAATATCCAAACAAAAAATTTTTTGTGATTTCACACAAAAAATTATTCGTCAACTGAATGCACAATGTCGTTATCAATATATATTTTACACAAGAATGTAGTGTTGAATTCAAAATAAAATTCCAGAAGTTTTTACTTTAGAATAAAACTTAATCTATGTGGGTCCGGCACCTATCTATTGCAATCCAAATTTCTTTGATAAAACTTTATCTGTCAATACATTATGTATGTATAATATACATATAGATAATATAACATGCATTACAATTGTGGCTGCTTTTCAAATATGCATTGCATGTATTATATAAATAATATTGAATACACAACCGGAATAATAAACAAAATATTTTTATATTTTTTTTTTTTTTTTGACCTAGGTAAAATGACATTTGTTATCAAAAGATAAATAGTTAGATAGTTAAGTTAGTATGGTACCTACTATACGTATCAATATAGAAAAACAAATAAGATTAATAGAGTAAAAAGAACTTAGAACTTCTATTTGTAAACTTTGTACTTCATGGGTTATTACATCTCTATTTAATACATATATCTTTTATGGTGGCATTGATTAAACTCAAATAAAACTCTATATTTTTAAACTTAAAGTTAACAATTAAGCTAGTTAATTGCCTTATTACAATTTAATTAGCGACACTTTATACATATAAGGATAGTTGCGATATTAACGAGGAAGAGTATAAAGTTTTTATACGACGATACAATTTAAAGATAAACTTAATTGCTTCTCGGGTTGTCTCATTTCAAATGTGGGATAAGCACCCATTATAAAAGTATTGTCTATTATTGAAACTGAAATTTGTCTATAATGTTATCTATTATTGAAACTATTATTGAATCACTAGATAAAGCGGTTTAGAAGCAAAGGAAGTGGGAAAGATAAAACTCAATCACGATGTGAATCCTTTATAAAAAATTAAGGCACATAAGATGGTTATTTACATAAATATAACAAAATTTGTACATGAATAGGTATATATATGAATGTATAAACTGTTTTTAAAATAATGTTAATTAAGCTTAACATCTGAAACTCATTTTAAAATTGTCACTATGGAAACAGTAAAATAGTATGTATGTATGTGTATTCGTTTTCATTATTACTTTCATCTTGAATATTTTGATAAAAAATGTTTTATGAAATGCTTTTTTATCTGCCATAGTAGAGAAGAGGTGAATAAACTGGACCAAAAATGTAATTCTTGATATCTACATTTAATTTAATATTATGTACATATTTTACTCTATTTGTATTTCATATATTTACTTTCACTTTTACTAACACAAACATTTAGAAATATTTTTCTCGCTGTTTTATTATAACAAAAATGTAGGTATTAAGTTCAGGCCAAAACTTTTGGAACTTATCTACCTAGGTAGTTCCCGAATTTCATTTGAACATTGTTTTAAAACTCTAACTTTAAAAATAATTTCATTGAAATTCAGAATAAGTTTATTAGATTTTGTATGAAACCTAATCAAATAGATTTTATTATCTATAATCCGTAACTAATAAATTTTATTAAAAATTTTTTTTTTATAAATAATATTGATATAAAAATTGATTTTACAAACATAAAGCATTAGGGCAGATATGCGAACATTTTGTGCTCAGAGCAAAGTATTTTTAAAAAATTATTAGGTTTATCCGTTTAGGTGGGTAGGCTCGGTTAGGTTTGGTGTTGCAGCTCCCCAAAGGGTACACATAAGCCAATTGTGCCCGTTGTGGTATCGGCGCATCTCTTCTTTTCTGTTTTTCATTCGAACCAGCCCGAGCTCCTAAAAAACCGGGTCAGATCATTAATGCTTACATTTGCTATATCCGTAGCGCGCCCGAAGAAGTAAGACCCAAAAAATCTCTGCTTGAAGTTCTTCCAGTGCCGGACACGAGCATGGAAGGAGGGTCACGGTTTCGCCTCCCCTTTGTCACAGCAACTCCTACACAGATCGCTCGCGGGGAGGCATATTCTTCTAGTATTTTCGCGAATCAGACAATGGCTCGTCAAACCCCTACCTGACATCCTCACGTCTGAGAAAAATTATATCCCTTGCATAAACATTTTTGTTGGTGCCTACCAAAAAATTATTTACATGCGTAAATTATCATAAAGCTGAAATTCAGTAAAATTTAAAACTGAAATTCAATTGTTCATATTAAAAATAAATCTGTGGCTAATTTTTTTCAAATTTCTAATTTTCTTTGTTTTTGGCCGACCGAACAATGGATAAATGGACATAATAATAATGTATGTAGGTAGGTACATCACTTTTGTATATTAACGAAGGAAACATACTCGCGATAAGAAGAACTTAATATATGATAAATATATCATATTTGTTAAATAAATTTTGAATTATGAGGTTAGAAAAAGCAAAACTATGAACCTAGTTTGTTTTTAGACTTTGTAAATGAAATCTACGAATCTGTATCTATGATATCAGTGTGGGTGAACGATTTCCTGAGTTGTTTTTTAGTTCCCATATGAATTTATAACGTTTCGACTTTCCAAATGAACCGTGGTAAATTTATTTACCTTATCGTAGCATATTTGTTTAAAAATGTTTAAATAATTATTGAATTTATATGATGGGTAACAGAAAAACTTAATATTTCCTAACCGTTGACAAGTAAATTAGTTAAGTAAATAGGATTCTGCATCTAGCTATTATTAGATAAATAGCACAAATTTAATCTAATAATTGTCTAAATTTCTGCCTGAGCTATCGCTGAAACGGACGCTCTGGCAAACAGGCCAACATTCGCTAGGCATACATTAACTTAGAATCGGTTGTTGAATCACAAAATGCTTTATCTGAGATCATTATTTTTTACCGTTACAAATGGAATGTTAAACTTATAAAAGTACAAAATAAAAAATATAACCATCAACTTTTGATTAGATAACATTTATTTTTAAAATAAGTTTTATACAACTATTTTTCTTAATACATTTTCTCATTAAATTTTGATTTTTTGCCAAAATATTATGTTCTATGTAGCTACTATAACAAGAACACTATTAAATTTGACCCCGCAGATAATGAAAATATTATTTTGAATAAACCGTGTTTTGTTTTCTTGCTCAGACACAATGTGTCTAAAATTTGCTTTCCAAATTTGAAATTGTAAGGCAAAAACTGAAATACCATTAATTTTGAATTATTATGTCACGATTAATTTTGTGTCTCTAATGAACAAAAAATTAAATTCACAAATTATCAAAAAAGTTACAAGAAATGTTTTAATCTGCATTTTATCGAATTTGGTCAATTATTTTCCAAATTACCTCCAAGTATCATCAAATTTTGTTAGTAAACATTTAATTATAAAAAGTGAAAAATTAATGATATGCAAAAAAACGGTTTTGTATTCAAAAAAATTTTTAGTCCAGAATAATTTTCATAATATTTTTCGATTTATCTTCCTTAAAAAATTTTTTCCTTTCACTTCAAAAATTTGTGGAACACTGTCACATTTTGTATTCGCAGATATATTGCATATAGCTATACAATTTTTTTTAGTTTCTTTGTGGTACTATACAGAAATTATATGGAATGCTTCATTTCTATTTATATACTGTTATGCAAAATTAAATTATTTTCAAAATCATAAGAATTTAAAATATTGTATGTACATACGTATGTGCAAAAATAAATACGTACAAATTTCATAAAGTTTTAAAGCTTTGTATAACATGTGTATTTTTATCCTCAACTGTACAAAAAGGGGTGTTATTTCATTTGAATGCAAGCCTTCAAATATTAATGTAATTCTGAAATCATTTGAAAATAACAGTATAAAATGAATAATCTTTTTTATTATAAATCCCTATACCTAAATGTTGCGTTTAGTAAAAAAAAGAAGAAATAATAAAAACTTTACTATTCTTAGGTTTTAGTAATATACTTGTTCAAGTTTCGATGAAAAATGTTTTAGAAGTCGCATCCTTATTTCCTTTTATCGATTAATAATTTCATCCAAAAACTTTTTCCTGCAAATAATCAAATAACAAAAAATAAAAAAGCATTATACTTTTTTTGTAAACTAGGTAGCAGTACCTGATATTGTTGAAGCAGCCGCTAATGCTGATATTTTAATATTTGTCGTTCCTCATCAATTTATAAGAAATTTCTGTGGTAGTTTATTAGGTAAAATAAAACCAACAGCTGTAGCTATTTCATTAATCAAAGGATTTGATAAAGCTGAAGGCGGTGGTATTGATTTAATTTCACATATTATTACCAGACATTTAAAGGTAAATAGTACTATTTATTATACAGTTAAATTCAGATACCTTTTTTTTATAGATACCTTGCTCAGTTCTTATGGGTGCTAATATTGCTAACGAAGTTGCTGAGGGAAATTTCTGTGAAACTACAATTGGATGTAAAGAAATAAAATATGCTCCAATATTTCGCGATGCTTTTCAAGATGACAATTTTCGCGTAGTAGTAGTAGATGACGTAGATGCAGTTGAAGTTTGCGGAGCTTTAAAGGTAAATTTTATATTTTTAATATGATTAATTTTTAATTAATAAGCATATATTTTTTTTAGAATATTGTAGCGACTGGAGCCGGTTTCATAGATGGCCTTGGCCTTGGTGATAACACAAAAGCTGCTGTAATTCGATTGGGCTTGATGGAAATGATTAGATTTGTGGAAATTTTCTACCCTGGAAGTAAATTATCTACATTTTTTGAAAGTTGCGGTGTCGCTGACTTAATAACAACTTGTTATGGTAGACTTATATATATTTACATAATAAAAATTTTGCAAGAGTAAAAATTGATCCCACATTTTACAGGTGGACGAAATAGAAAATGTGCCGCCGCTTTCGTTACCTCTGGAAAAACAATAGCAGAATTAGAAAAAGAAATGTTAAACGGACAGAAATTACAAGGTCCTCCTGCGGCTGAAGAAGTTAACTACATGTTGAAAAATAAGAAAATGGAGGAGAAGTATTTAACAAATTTTTTTAACAAAAAGAATTTTTCGTCATATTTTTTTAATAATTTTAGATTCCCATTGTTTACTGCAATTCATAGAATTTGTATTGGAGAACTTAAACCAAAAGATATGATCGATTGTATACGTAATCATCCAGAACACATGTAAGTTCTTTAATATATAAGTTGTAGAAACATCCTCTCATTATTATAATGTATAATCACTTCAAAATGAGGTCTGTTATAACAATTTTTAATGAAATTTTTTTTTAAACATTTTTTTGTAATTTTATTTTACATTTCATTTATGTTAAATCCAAAATTTTCCCTATTTTCTTTGTTTTCTTAATCATTTGTAAAAAATCACTATTATGTAAACAATAATTTTTATAAATTGAACAAAGCTTTACAACGAGTAAAGCAAATTAGTAATAAGAAAAAACAGATTTGTAATTCACGAAACTGTTGTATTTTTAGAACTTTTTTCAGAAAAATTTTGAAATGTTCGAAAAAAAATATTCATTTTTAATAGTAGTTCATGTTTAAATATGTTTTACTGAATGTATTGTAATAAAATAATTTATTTGTAAAATTTTACAAAAACAAAAGAATTTAGTTGTTTTTAAATGTGAGAATATGATAAGGTCCATGTAAATATTATGTAACGTATAATTCTAGTAAATCTAACCTTAATTTCTAATAGTTTTAATTAAAATAATTGTATTAATATTGAAATGCACGCTTACTTAGAGAAACACTAATTATTAACACAAATTAATGAAAGAAAATTTATCGATTTCTGCATAATTTACCAAATTTCAATAATACATTGAATTAATAAAATATGAATTCAATTTTAAATTTAAAAAATAAAAAATTATAATCTTACGAGTGTGTAAAGTGGTAAATTAAGTCGAATTTGCAAATAAATTTTTGGAGATTAAAATTAAAATCCTAATATGTATTTATATTAATATTATTTATAGATCAGATCTCATTGCTGTTAAAATACTTTAAAATTTTGCATTAATATTTCAATACTTACTACTAAAAACTCAAGAAATTTTTTGAAATTTTCAATTTTAGAAGAACATAAGTGTAATTAAAATTATTTTTTATTTAAATCCGTTTATAGGAGATTAGCTATTCACTTACCATTAATGTTTTAAATGAAAACAAATATTTTAATTTAGAAAATGTAAAACATAATCAACATTAATTCCTTTCCTAAAAGTACTAAAAGTTACTAAAATTAACAGAACTACATATGAGAAAAAAGTTAATTTTAATATGTTGATGTGAAGTATGTAGCTAATCTCCAGAAAATTAAGTAATACAACAAACTTTTAAAAACATTTACACATTAATTTTTATCATATTTTTTTGGTTTTTTGAATTATTTTAACTTTTTATCATTTATTTTAGGAGTGAATCATTAGCAAAACTTTAAAAAAGTTTCTTTTATACCATACCACATAATCATACAACACCTAATGCTGGCGCATTCATTGTTTATTTTTGCATTTATACAGTGTTTTTGATTATTTTTTGTTTTTTGTTTTAAATCTGTAATGTAAAAATCTGTTAATTTTTATATTTTGTAAATATTGACATAAAATGTCAAAATATTGAAAAATAATCCATTTTAAATTGATAATTGGCTAAAAAAATTAAATATGAACAAATTTTAGATAAATATGTCTCTAATCCATTACATTCCTTTTTTTTCAATCAACAATAGAAATAGAAATATCATTACAAAACATGCAAGTTAATCTCTTAATCTTAATGATCTTGATTTACTAAATAAAACTTAAAATATTTATATTGATCGCGAAATATTTGATTTAACACTTGAAGATACTACTAATTAATTGAGACAATAATTTATAGCGACAGTAACATATAGCAATAAATGTTATATTATATAACAATTTACTATTACTGAAAAACTTAATCCTTTCAACTTAATGCCACATTTTCAGTATTATTCTGGTTTTTTCTCCAGAAGACTGCTCTTTCAACAGAGAATGGGATTTTTAGTTTGTTTAGACTTTTCGTAAAAAACTAATAAAAGGACGATCATTGAGCTATGAACAAGCATTTTAAAGTTTTCTAACTTTCATATACAGTCTTGGACTGTATATGAAATTATATTGAATCTACTATTACATTTTAACATTCCGCAATAGCATTGGTTACTCAAATTTTTGGAACTTTTAATGTGAATGCGGCATATCTTAATCAGTTTCTTGTGATTTACTCATGTAAAAACATTCTCTTAATGAGTATCAGAGCAGTTAAATACATGAAGGATAAATCATTTCTAAATTTTAGGCACTGACATTACACTTAAGTGAAAAAAAAATTTAATTGTAACAAGATTAACAAAAATAGTGCATATGAATTTTGTTTTAATTTTAATTTTCCTATTATGACTTGTTCAATTTTTAATAGAGATTATACTAGCATGTGTAGGATAAATATTTTACATTTAAATATGTACATATAATAAGTCTATTATGTTTAAATAATATAATAGACGTATTGTATGTATTTAAATATATAACGTAAAATTTATACGTCTAATTTATATATACATACATACATCTATCTAATTTGATTGTTAACAAAAAAATTAATAAACCTATAAATTTGTAAAATTGAGATCCTGTTGTGCTATATACATATTATTTTGTTTATGATAAAAAAAGAAAATGAATATTTTTAAAAAAATTTAATTGTGTTTTTTTGCATTAAAATAATATGCGAACTTAATATAAATTAACTAACTAAAATAAATTAAAAGCACTAATGTTTGAACATTTTAATTGCGTTAGTAGGTAAGCTTTATTTTGCGAAAACTTTAATCAATGATTTCATTGAAAAAATTATAGTATTTTTTAATTTGTGTATTTGATTCAACCCGCTAAAATTATAAAACAAAAATCGAACTAAAACTACAACATTTAAGTAATTTATTTCGATATAATGCGGAACATACAGGAATAATTTTCATAAATACATAATGCATATAAATTCAATTTAAATGTTATATAATTTTCATACATACATATATACTAAAACACACATAATTAAGATATTTGACCTCTTTTACATTTATCGAACATAAACATGTGATCTAATTATTCAAAATTTTCTAAGCTCAAACCAAATATCAAATATATATGATGTATGTAAATAAAGTATGAATTAAATCATATGCTTATGAAATAAAACATTGTATTTCTGATAAATTCTAATTCTTAATTTGAAAACTTCATATTGTTTATATCCAATCAGTTTCATAAAAATTGATGAATTCATTCCCTATCAGTGGTTAAAGGTTAATATTAATACCTTAACACTTACATATTTTAAAATTATTTTCTTATACATAAGTACATGTTTTCTTTAATTTAGACGCGTTTCGTTATATTATATTACATTATCAATTAATTTTATAAAGGGAGTTTAGTTCGATTTTGGAAGAACATGCATATTTCAAATTCATTTTTCACAGGAATCATTCGGCTTAGCTCTTACTTGGGAATAGCATTCTATTCGTTTTTCAACGATTTTTATAATGTAACTATCTCAGATACTATATGTTTAAGATGAACAACGAAAACTTTCGAAAAAAAATGAAAAACATTCAAGAGTTTTTACAGCACAACTTTTGTGTTATCAATGTTAAATAGTTAGTTTGATAATATTTTTGGAATTTCTTGGAAGAAAATTCTACATCTTTATGTTTTACCTTGAACAATACACCTGTATTTTAAAAAAATTTTTGTAATTCATGAACATTAAAAATTATTTAGTTACAGAAGTGATACTTCTTATATTTTTACTTCTTATATTATAACGGCTTTAATAAAACTATAAATTGCGAATTTTCTATGTTATAAAATAATCATAAATTATTTAAAAATAACTAATCAAAATAATTTTGCCAACTGCATTATGTCGAGGTTTTTTGCCAAATGAAGCGCCGAAGTTCTTTTTGAAAATATCCATTTATTGCCAATCTTCCTCCAATTTTACTGTGAATGTGACCAATTTTTCATGTTTTCAATAGCCATTCGTTATATTGAATAACATAAACGTTACATTTATGTACTTATAAATAAATAAGAATAAAATTAGCTATGAGTTATTTTACTTACAACAATCAACCTTAACATACAATATAAAATATAACTCGTACATATGTATAGGATACAGATCATTATCTACATACATAAGCACATATGTACATAAAATTTTTATAGAATATTATTGTAAACGAACAGCAGATTCAAAAAATATTAAATTCGAAAATTTTAAATCTTCTTTTTTATAAAAATTTCATGCAAATTTATTGAGGTAAGCATATTAATTAGGTTTAAAAACTTTGTTACATATCAAATTTTAGAAAGTTTGCTATTCGTTTATCGAATTAATTATTACGTTGGAATTTTAAGAAATATTTATATACTACATACATATTTTTATAATAAAACCCCATATATTTTTTGATAGGCAAAAATTTTAATGACAACAAACAAACGTAATGATTCGAAACCATAGAAATCATATAAACCAACCAACTGAAATTTTAAGTGCTAATACATACATACATATGTATATATATTAGCATGTTTTTAGCCAAACTTAATTTGTTGTTCAAAATTTTATTAAATCTACATCCATTGTAAAAATGAATTGTTTTTATGAATTAATTTGTAGAGAAGAAAATTTTATATAGGATAAAGTCATATTTTTGAAGTCTAGTAATTTATTATATGGTTCAAAAAAAAATGTTATATTTTTGAGAAATAAAAAATCTGGTGACAAAATATTGTTTTTTTTTTTTAATTTAAATGTTATATCGACAGGATCAGAAATATTGAAGCTATAATTGGGTAGGTATTACCATTGGAGTTTCTCCATCCCAACTTAGGACAAATACTTTATACCTACTTACATATATAAATATGAACATATGAGGGGCGCAAGCTTTCCCTGGAATTTGAACAAAAATTATTTGAAAAACTCGTTAAAATTCATCAAATCAATCAATTTTATTTTCCAACATAAAATAAAATATTGCTCTACGAACGTTATACCTATAATATAGTTTTGATCTATGCTTTACTAACATTCTAATAAATATAAAGGTTCTACACAATAATAATAAACATTTATATCATACATATTATTATATAAATGATATTATATATTATTTACCATTAATAAATAATAAAAATATAATTTTGATTTTGCTTCACTTATATTGTAATAAATATTATACGAGTACTCTATTATACAGAGTAAGAGTTAAACGTTATACAATCCTAATCAATAATTGATAATGCGAACATTTTACTGTTATAAGATAAATTATCATATCACATAGTAAAAAACGCTAGTAAACTAGGAACAGTTTTCACTACGTAAATATGTATGTATTTGAATAATACATAAACCACAGTCCAATACAACTCAAGACATTAAGCTATTATTATTAGCATCGCAGTATGAAACATCAGGAGAATGCCTTCCCAACATTCATTCTTTTTTATATGAAATTTTTAATTTAACCGAACATTAATTTTTTTATATGAAACGTGGAATGAGTTTTAATTACGCATTACTTACTTCAAACAAACAGACTTGAATTTTTGTATGTTAAAATTACGGCTGACAGATTTTTATGTTAAAATACAAGGAAGAGAATAACAACAACAAAATCAAGCAATAATAACGATGCAAATTCAAAGGAATAATAAATTAGTTAGATGCTTGGATCCATTCATCATCTATTGTCTCGAACATATTTTTTTTCTTATGTTCGACTATTTTAAAGATTACAACATCAAAATTAAGGGAATAATGAGTTTTTGAGAGAAACCTTAACACACAAATTTGAACTACATTTTTTATGTATTAAGCTACTTTTGAAAAATTATTTAAATAGTAGAAAAAACCTCTACAGAAAACAAAAGACGTGGTATTGGAGCAACTTTGATTTTATACATTTTCATTGTAGATATAGTTTAAAAAATGAGTGAAAATATTATTTTTATGTTCCTTTCTCAAATATACCAAGTCTCGTCATTATATGTTTAGGTGATTAAATCTCACGATTTGCACAAACATTAGATTATTTAACATTAGATATTAAAAAAAATTATTTCCTTGATAGTTTGAAAAGAAAGGGTAATCTCAAGCACGTGTATTTCTGAAAGTCTTAAGTTTGTCTTTTTGTTATTAAATGTTTCTTCCTACTACATTAGAAAAACTTGGATAACAATAAAGGTGAATGGAAAAATTATCATTGAATAAAAAATTTCCATTTCAAAGAAATTTATTCAAAATATAACAGTTCTCTTTCGTTAAGTTTTTTTAAAAATCCGTTATTAAATTCTGCCGCTGTCATAATTTTTTTCCCTTCGACTTTTAGTTTCTTGACTTTAATATATTCAAAATGTTTGCACAGCACTATCATAGTATCATCTTCTTTACAATATTTTATAGAACCGCAACGTTGTTTTGAAAAACTGTCCTCTTCACCCAATATGAAAAAATCTTTGAAAGATATTTCTATAATTTTTATATTTAAATTTCTAAATTTGGTCGATAAGCTTTTGTAACCATAAAGAGCACGATATAAATTATAAATTTTTTTTGCCGTCATAGTTTGCCATTTTATTTCAGTCATTTCAAGAGAAATTTTTGGAGCTAAAAATTTTATAAATTTGTAGTAATATGCTTCCAATCTAATATTAAAGTAATACCATAAGACACCAAAAGGTCATTTTGTTTCGTGAATTTATTAAAACATTCTGGGCAATTTTGAACGGTTTTAATAATTAATTTTGACCCTACTTCTGCTAAATTTTTAAACAATTCTGGCATTAATATGTGGTTGTCTATGAGTACTTCCTCTTGGTACAATATCTTTAAAAATATAAAAAAATTAATGCGCAATTTTTAACTACTCTTTTTTAACATACATCACCTATATCGAAATGCTTTGGCTCTATCTTCATTATAGAAACCCCCGTTTTATCATCACCATTTGCAATAGCGTGAACAATTGGAGCTAAAATTGATATTTCAGGTTAAAGAACAAAAAGAGGAGGAAATCAAAACAGAATAATTCATGCCTTTTAATTTAAACTGAACATATTTTACTCAACCTACCAGCACCTCTCCATCGTGGTAACAGGCTAGCGTGTAAATTAATCATTCCCCTGAAATTAAATAATTTCAATATACATGCACCCATGTGTGAAAATGAGATATAGGTTTTCCTTTACTTTTTTGATATGTACATACATTGGAAACTTGGAAATAATTTTTGACGGTATCAAATAACCAAAGGACACTACAATCCCAATATTGAATCTTCCAATGTTCAAGTCATCCACACAAGATGGCCAGTTATGTAATGGTATTTTATGATCCATTGCATATTTTCTTATAGGATTAATAGGTTTTTTGAATGAAGTGACCACTTCCAATAACTTAATTTTAGAGTCCTGTTGCCTTAAAAAAAGAATTTAAAATTGGCTTCGACTATTGCGTGTAATAGTGTTACATTTTGTTTTTATGAAGTTCTTTCAAACTTGGTAAAGAAAAATTGTCCGTACCAAAAAATAATATTTTAACTTGTTCTAATGGCTTACTACAAAATGATAAAACTTTGAAATTAGAAACTTTTCTCTTATATTTATAATAGTTTAAGATTCGCATTTTTTAAGATTTAAGTATTTCTTTTCTTCACATTTTCAACCTTTCAATTTAAAAAATAAGATTTACTGACATTTTTATTAGTTTTGTGGTAAAAATAATAACAAGCTTTGCCAGGCAGTTTGAAAAAGTGACGTCATCTGAAAGAATTTTTTAACTTTAAAGTTTTCTAGATGTAACTTTGTTTTCACATACTTTGTAAGGTTTCTTTTTTGCAAGGAAAAGACTATACCCATATTCTGTTAGTCGCATCACGTGATGTTATGAGTTGTTATTTAAAAATCTTGTAATTTTCTGAATAAAATCAATTTCGAAATTCAAAATTTTATATTGAAAAACGAAATTTTTTTAATAATATTCTATCACTCCAAGTGATGCTACTAACAGAATATGGGTGTTAATAAAATATAAGTTATTTAAGTTAATGTTGATTGTTATACAGCTTATTGGTATATTTTCTACTTTGGTGTATTTTAATACTTTTCTTTGCATTTCTTACTCTAAATATAGCCTATATTTAGGTAAAGTATGTAACTACAAAATCATAGTATTCCAATTTTCGTTATGACCTTTAAAATAACTATTTCTTATATCTAATTTATATTAATTCCTTTCATAAGATTCATTTTTAAATTGGGCTACTGAAACCAATCCAGGATTTTAATTTGTTTTTGTTGAATATTTGTTTTTATTGTATACACCTCAAATTCCTACAATTTTTTAATATATTATTCGACATCCGTTTTAACGGTACGGTAAACTTAGTATATAATAAACAGTTGAATCCAGTTAGTAAAATAAGCAAATGTGAATTTTGATGAAATAAAAATATTTCTTACCAATGACACATTAAAAATGTCATGTCACCGATCTTGTATATCAAAAGGCACGGCATTACACTACGGTAAGGATATTGTAATTTTTGATGCCGAATTTGGCACAATAAGTTTTTTAGTAACCTTTTTTAAAATTATCACAGTTTTTAGCACACTATTTGAAAAACATTACCAAATTTTACAAATCATTGACCTCGTTTATATGGCAGCCTGAATTCTTGATTTGAAATCATCTTGAAACTCAAGTTGCGTTTTTACTTATGTCAGCTTAAAATCCCAAAAATGACTTTAGGCTATCAAATTTGAAGTCATTATTAACAAAAATTTTTTGGTTCACTTGAGTATAGCCGGCTTTAAGTAAAGTAACGTTTATATGAACGTAAAAAAAGACTTTGAATACGCTTGAAACTGCCATATATATTTGATAATTGATAAAATTTACCATTGAAGCAATTTTGAATTTTTGATGTATGTCCAAACAATTTTTCAGTATTGAAAAATTTATTTTATTGCTGTTTATATGGCTTAATATTAAACTGTTTTTGTGGGAAAAAAATATTAGAAAACAAATAAGGGTTTTGTTTCAGTTTGGCTCTTTTCTTGTTTTGAATATTTGGCTCATCAATTTTTTTAGGAGTGGCAACCCTAATCACGATTGGCGACGGTCCTAATCGTGGCTTAAATGTTTTGTAATACATAATGTGAAATTTTAAACTTTAGTATAAGTGAAAATATTAAATAATAATGTTATAAATATAAAGCACTCAAATTTAAAATGAATAAAATGTATAAAGTTGCTGTGGCCATGTCAGGCGGTGTTGATAGCGCTGTAAGTGCATTACTTTTAAAAAATAAAGGTTATTTATACTAATTGAGAAAAAGAAACATATGCAGCTAATTTCTAATGATTTCAGGTTTTGATGTTGTAGGTGTTTATATGAAAAATTGGGATCAATTTAATGAATTGGGATATTGTTCAGGAGAAAAAGATTTAATTGATGTGCAAAACGTATGCAAAAAATTAGGTATGTATGTAGCACATATGAAACTCGTCATTGTACTTAAACTTATCAATGTATTTCAGGGATTGACTTATACGAAGTTAATTTCGTCAAAGAATATTGGAATAAAGTTTTTTGGTAATTTTAAAAATTACCGATTAGATATAAGTACATAACTAAAAAAGCTCAATCCTTTTTAAGTGACTTTTTAGATGATTATCAAAACGGTTTAACTCCAAATCCAGATCTTTTATGCAACAAGCATATCAAATTTGATGACTTTTATAAATATTGCTTCAGCAAATTTCAAGTAAATGCCATTGCTACTGGTCATTATGCAAGATCATCTTTTGGAACATATTTAGAAAATTGTAGAGATAACACAGGTTTAGAATTATACATTTCTTTATTTTATCTTGCCATTAATTTGTTTTAACATTTAAGAAGTTAAACTGCTAAAAGCGAATGATGATTTCAAGGACCAAACATTTTTCTTATCCTGTATTCGGCAAGACTCCCTAAAAAGAACAATGTTTCCTGTAGGCAACATGTACAAAAAAGATGTGAAAAAAATTGCTGAATTGAATGGACTTCATGAAATGGCAAGGAAAAGGGAAAGCACTGGAATTTGCTTCATTGGGGATAGAAATTTCCAAAATTTTATATCACAGGTATAACTGATAGAATTGAAATTCTTGCAGTATGGGTAATATTTCAAATTTAAGTATGTAGACCCAGTTCCAGGGGATTTTATAGATATTGATTCTGGAAAAACTGTGGGTAGGCATAATGGAATCCATCAATGGACAATCGGACAGCGTTGTCGAATACCTGGTTGTGTAAAGCCATTTTTTGTTGCAATGAAAGATGTTCAACAAAAAATAATATACGTAGCAGCTGGAACAGAGCACCCTTCCCTCTTTTCAAAAATTGTTTATACATCGAAGCCTCATTGGATAAGAAATGTGGAAATCAACCCTAATAAATTTTACGAATTTAGATTTCAACACACAAAACCATTAGTCCGGTGCAAAATAAAAGAAGAGAATAATGGTTTGAAAATAACTTTAGCTAGTTTTTTAAGAGCTATCACACCGGGTCAGTATGCGGTTATATACTCAGAAGATGAATGTCTTGGCAGTGCAAGAATTTTACCTTCAAAATAGATTATAACTGAAAAGATTATAAACTGTTTTGCCAAACATAAAATAACCAATTAAAACTGACTGAGCCATTCATTGATGGTTGAAAAAAAATATTAGGCTTTACATTAAATTTTTAATAATAAACAAATGCATTTTATTTAAAAAAATTTTTCAGCATAATGTAAAATTTCAAAAGCAACTTCAACCATAATTAAGACTATTATCATCCACTCTAATCTAACATGATGAGCATCATTTAAATTCGAGCTTACCAAATGTGCTAATTCTATTAGATGATTCAATTTTTCATTCATTACTTTTGTTCTTCGAGAAATATTAAAATATCCACAGACTTGGATATAAATACTTTCTAGCTCCTCTCTATCCCAATAAAAGTCTGGTGTATCCAGTAAATCGGAACTTAAGTTAATTAAATGCCTTAATGCAAAAAGTTCCCCTGTTTTACGCAATACTTCAGCTCGGCTTATTCTTATACTGCGCCCTTTTTTTAAATCCTCTGCTATAAATTCCATATCGTCAACAAAAAGGTCCAAAATTGCTTCACATATTCCCAACTTAACAGTAGCAGACATAGCGTTTGAAAATGTGTATTTCTGTAAAAAGTTGTCACTCTCATTAGTTAAAAAGAAAGTTCCACTTTTCATAGATTTCCCGTTATTTTGAACGTACGAATAGGGCATTACTTCGCTCTCACCTTGAATCAATTGGCTTGGATATCTATCTTGTTCATGATTCTTAATAAAATTTAAAATGTTATTTGTTTCTAAAATGCTGCAATTCCATAAAACTACACAGCCTTCTCGGAAGAAAAAAATATCTCGTGGCTCTTGTTCAATTTCATATTTGCCACGGATATAAAGTACATCACGTTCTGCTCCTAAATTGTCTGTTGAAAAAAATTTTTTCGTTACATATAGATTCTGTTTTTCTAGTTCTTCAAATAAACTTTCTAAATTGTATTCTTCAGCTGTCGCAAAAGCATTAACACTGAAATATCCATCAGCTTCCAAAGTGTCTTGTTTGGATTTGACACGCTGTCGTCTTTTCATTCGCGACATTATATTCTCGTTTCCATGTTTTGGTATATTTGCCAGTACAGATGCTTTAGTACTCGCATTACTACATAAATTAAATGAGGTTTTCAAATACTTAAAATTAATGTGCTTGCAGTTAGTAGCTAAGTTGAATACACTCTTTATCAATAGTTTATTTTGATACATTTAAAGACTTTTATTATACATAATCTACGTAACACTAAAGCTTTCCTTTTTCCAATAAGCCTTTTAAAAACGAAGTAAGATTTGGTAATATGTTTTAAAATTTAAATATAAACTTTTATTTGTCAATAAAATAGCCTCAAAATGCATGTATTACAAAAACAAAGCAGTGTTTTTATTTGTTTATCCATCGTCCAAAGCTTGACATAAAAAAAATATCAGTATTGCTGTCAGCCATGATTCAAAGGCAAGTATGATATCTCCACTTGTCATAAAATCGTACCGTCGCCAGGAATTCTAGCTCAAAATATACAGGGTGTACAGACTCAATGGTGTTCCCGAAGCAGGATGATAGAAAACATGCAGACGAACAAGAAACACCTAGCGGCATTTTTCTTGTAGACTCATTTTATGAAGTAATGAAATCCTAATTCTAACGGTTTACCGGCGATTGCAAAGAATTTTGTAGTTTCACAGATATTCAAGTGCAAAGACAAAATTTGTTAAAAATTTTTTTTCTAAATTTTCGTTTAACCGCCATTTACTCATAATTCCACGTTATCAACCTACCTTTTTTTTTTAGAGGAAGAAGAGCTCTATATCCTGACCTTCATTTTGGTATAACATAATGTGGGAAAAATTTTAGAAATAACATGTCTATCAAGCGAAAACTGAGGTCAAAACCTTAGAAAATTAACTTAAACAAAGTACTTTTCAAACAAAAACAAACTTTTTTAATCTTTATTAATATTTCCAAAAGTTTCAGGAATATCGTGCAAAATCTTTTTTTATAATCAAATTTATAAAAAAAAAGCAAAAACTAATTTTTTTGCGACAAATTAATTATAATCCAAGTAATGTTCACCCTTTGATTTATTGCTATATCAATTTAATTTAATTCAAAAATGCTATATTTTTTTTGTAATTAGTCCTAAGCTTTTTTATTATTTAATTACTTAAGTACTGAGTTGGAACTTCGATTACATTCTTTTTATTTCTTCTTTGGAAAGAATAAACGAAAACAACCATAACACCCAAATTGGTTCACAAATCATAATACGAAAATATAAGTCAGAAAATGTAAATTGTAAACAGGGCTTTATTTATTATATTTTAATCATTCTCATATTGTGCAGATGGGACTGTTTTTGACGTTTAATTATATGTCACGCAATCATGTATGTAAAATATATTATAGTTTGATTGAAAGTTTATTTTGCTTTCGTGCCTTAAATTAAGAAAATGTGTAATTGAACATTTGAATATCAATATTATATTTTCCATATATAAAATTACTTTTCCCTAAGAAGTTTTGCTAGGCAATGGCATTAACTGATACTGAAGAGCTTTTGAAATCGAATTTGGCTATGCGAGTTGCAGTACAAACAATGAAAGAACGATGTCAATCACTTCAACATAGAGTAACTGGTTTAGAAGAAGAAAATTTTGAGCTTCGAAATCGTATTAGAGACCAAAAGTTGGATTTTTCCTCAAGTTTTTCTGATAACGTTGAAGAAATAGAGTGTTTAAGAAAGCAAATTTTGGATTTGCATCAGCAAAAAATTCAAATGAATGAGCATGTAGCTATGGTGGCAGCAGAAAATAGACAGCTTTGGTCAAGGTATTTTTGAACTATAAATATATGGATATTTTTTTTATTCAAATATACCACTGGAAATTTTAATTTTCAGACTATCACAATTATCTAAAAAGAATTGTGTACAACATATATCTGATGAGAGTGAAAAAGGGGTGAATTCCGGACAAAACCTTATTAGATCAAAAACATTTACGCAACATGCGCCCAATCCATATTTACGACCGAAACGTATTGAAAACAGTGAGTTTAGTAAATCAGACAGCATTAGTTTGGAAGAAGTAGTTTTGTATAGCCAAGAAGCTGAAAATATTGAAATAGAGTCGCTGAAAGGCGAAACTTTACAATTTCAAAATTTAAGCAATTTAAATAAAGATATCGACGCAAAAGAACTGACAACGGCAGCTGCGAAATGCATTGAAGAATTAAATGTTTTAAAACAACAACTATTAGCCCAGCAAAATGAACTCACTAATACTATTTTCGACCTCAAACAAAAAATAGGTATGTTTCTAAAATTTATTTTGCTTCAAATAAGTAAATTGTCTTGGTTTTTGTCTTTTAGCTAATCGTATATGTAAAGAATGCGAAATTAGGAGTATAAAACCAGAAACTGCGGATAAAAGTTTGGAAACAGATGAATCGCTTTACACTGATATTAGCCCGTCGCAAAGTCATCAGAGTCAGGAAGAAAATGGAGATTTTCATCAAGAAATTTTAAATGATAAGAATATTGTTGAAGAAAGCGTTAGAATATGTCCAATGTGTGGTAAAATATTTTCTCAGGATATATCATTTGAAGATTTTAGAGAGCATGTTACTGAGCATTTTGTTGATGATGAAGAAGAAAGCAATGTTTATGATCGTCATTTTGAAATTATTTCACAAAAAGTTGGAGAATTTTGACAAGAAAAAAGAATTTTTTTTTGCAGTGATCTTTAATAATGTTGTTAATGATTATTAATTTTAAGATATCAATTGTGAATTATTTAAGTTTGGTTTTTATATTATGTAGGTACTATTGCAATGATGCTATGGATTAAAAAAAAGGATCCTTCAAAATAAAAAGCGAGAAATTTTTTTCAATTGTCTTATTGTACATTAGAAGTATCCAAATTTAAAAATTTTGGAATTATACTAAAATTCATAATTTAACCAAGATCAGACGGCTTAACTTCTTTTGTTGTTGCAGTTTTTTGAGTCGATTTTTGTAACAGATTTTTTGAAAACCACATTGGTCTCGGTTTTTTCATTTCAATTATTCGTTTGTTTTCTAAAAATTCTGGCATCTGCAAAAGTCAAAGTTTAATGCAAAAAAGTATAAGGTAAAATCTATAAACTTTGTTAATTTTTTCTCCTTCATAAAGCACGATGACATCGCGGTCAACTTTTTCATTTCCTAAAGCTTCTTCAATTTTTTGTTGCATCAATTCAGTCTCCTTTCTAACTTTCTCATAGCAATTAGCTTAATATATAAATACACAAATACATTTTAAAAGTATTTAAAGTTAGGTTTCAAAGTTTAAGAATGGGATATAAATTATTAAATTTGATCTTACGGCATAGCACACCAATTAAGTGATCGTGGCCACATTGGACACAGCTTCTTATATTGGTTTTAGGTTTAAATAACTTCCACACATATTCAGGTGAACCAAATTTCCTTTGCCACCTTCTCTCAATCGTCCTTCTATTTCGTGGTACTGCTAACAAAAAACCATCTCCTATCAAATCTTTAATTGTAAATCGTTGGTTACTAGGTACATAAGGCAATTCTAAACAGCTGAGTGCATAAACTGGTTCTAAAATAAGATAATTTAAGAGAAATACCAAGCAATTCACTAATTTTACCTGGTCCTCTTTTCAGCATATTAAATACAGAATGAAGTTTCCGTACGCATTCTATTGCACTTTTTAGTATTTTATCCATTTAAAGAAATTTAAATTCAACAACACGGCAATTGTAATAAAATTGTAACTTTTTGATAAATATAAATCTAATAAAATGTTAAAATGTAGAATATTATTTAATACATCATAACTACAAATTTAGTATTTGAAGTTAGAATGTTCAGATCAAATTTTTAATTGTTATATTTTTATAATGAGGTTTTGGGTAATCCACTTAATTTCCGATGTATTGTCAATCAGTATTGTAAGTAAGTGCCAATTTGAGTTGGGTGAAGTAAAGTAGAGACATTCAGAGTCAAAACGGTCTGATAAAATTATTAGCTTGTGTTTCAAATCGGGTAGGCGGAGTGAAAGATTTGAAAATAGGAAATTAATATTAAATTATTGTCCAACTCTAGTCGATTTCAATAATATTATTTTAAATTTTTGAGTATTCAATCATTCAGATGTGGATGGGATTGAAGATAAATATATTTTTGAATAATGTATTACTTTTTTTTTTTTACGATTATAAACATGTCAAATTTTGATTTCCTTCATGATTAAAGTTGGATTTCCTAGTTGACGGTTTATTCATACAAAAATATGATTCAGCCGTTTCATTTTAATGAGCTTTATGATATTTTTGTGGGAAGTTACCATTAACCGTAATACACATCGTATGGTTCATACTTTAGTCAAAGGTTTTCATTTAAAGTAAATAAGAAATATAAGAAATATTTTTGCTTTAGTAAATAGGTTGATAGTCGCTTCCCACAAAAATATGATTCAGCCGTTTAATTTTAATGGGCTGAATTAAATGGGTATAATTTTAATCAGCCCATTTAAATTAAACGAGTGAATCAAATTTTTGTGGAAATGACCATCAATCTGTAATACATTAAGATTTCATTAATGTTATGGTTAAAGAATAATTTGGCAGGTATAATATTTTTTGACCTATGCATTGCAAATTTTAATAATTCAATATAATTTTTCTAATGATCGATACATTTTAAAATTTAATTTTACGAAATTACAAAACGTTGATTAAATGACCAATACAAAATAATCTAAAAGAAGCACAAAAATGACAGAAAACGGTGTAAATAGAAATAGAAAATGATGTAACCGTAACGCCATAACTGCGATGGCCAATGTGCTTTCTGCATTTCATTTCTAACAAATTTCAAAAAGCTATCATACAAGTTGGAGTAACTTTCTAATCAAAACAGGAAAGAATTATTCTTTTCTCTTTTACACTAACACAAAAGGTCCCTTGAACATCGTATTTTCTTGCTCTTTTATATTTCAAATATTAATTCAGTGAGAAATGTCCGCTTCATCATCATTTTATTTTCACCACTCAAGTTGACGCCAAAAAGAACGCCATTGTGAAAAAAAAATTTTATTTTGTAAAAATATACATATTCTGTTTATAAATAACTTTATTCCAAATTGAATAAATTTAAAACTTTACAATTTAGTAAATAACAAGAATAAAAATTTTATTAAATGTGTTTAAAATATTACAAAATTGATAAAAAAAAAAATTTATTGGTAGGCCATTTTGCGCCAACGGAATAGCTATAAATAATTAAATCTGAAAAAGATACCTTATAAAAACAGTTTGTGTATAAAATTATTGTGTTTCAAAATAAGGAACAGGGAAGAAATGTTCTCTGTTTTTAAATGTGGAAATTTTGTTTTTATATTTCACAATTTTAATGAAGCTGAGCTTCGCGTTAGAAGAGTAATTTTTAATGGAAAGTAGATTTTTAGTGTATGTATACATGCATGCTTTTATAATAATGTAAAATGGGGCAAAAGTAACCCTGCTTCATGCTAATAAAAAATTCAGACTTTTAGTAAAAGAAATTCTACATAAATATATACATAAGTTTTTAGATATTTAAATTGTGACAAAAATTTGCATGAAATATGTTTTACGCGCATATTGTGTTAGCCAAAAAGGGGCCGCTAGCTAGAATATGGTTAGCAGCCCATTGGGACAAAAAACTCACCAAAGCTCACGTTTTTGAAACAAATATTGAACAGTCAGTTGAAGGTATAATGCAGCCAAAAGTTAAATTAGCTTTAAGAACATCCGGGCACCTCTTGTTGGGTGTAGTTCGAATATATTCAAGGAAAGCCAAATATTTATTAGCGGATTGCAATGAAGCTTTTGTAAAAATTAAGGTACATTTTGTAATAGTGATTGTATCTTATAAACTTTATGAAAACTATATAATTTTAGATGGCTTTTCGGCCCGGTATAGTAGATTTGCCAGAAGGCCATAGGGAAGCTGCTGTAAATGCAATTACTTTACCAGAAGTGTTTCATGATTTTGATACTGCTTTACCTGAACTAAATGATGTAGATATAGAAGCACAATTTTCAATAAATCAATCTAGGGCCGATGAAATAACTATGAGAGAAGATTATGGTAGTTTGTCAATGTCAATTCATGACGATGGATTTGGAGATATGGGTTTTGATGCCGACACGGCAGATTTGGTGAGAGATGGAATGGATCCCAACATCGATGAAAATCTCTTTGCTGAAGAATTGGAAAAAGATGTCAACCAGACGAAAGAACCCATTGCTGGAACATCGAAAGATATATTGAATGATGATAACTTGGTAGACCCTCATTTGGACGCGGATGGATTTGGTGACGAATTCCGTAAGTGAAGTAATCTTTACATAAACATTTTAGTTTAAATACACATTTTATATAAAAATGCAAATTTTATACATAATATATTTTAAAATTAAAATTTTGATATTTTTATTTTGACAGAAGCTGTTGGTTTGTTTGAGGGTGATATATTTGGAGAACCAGCTCCGGCGGAGCCTCAATTAAGTGCGAATCTTCCTAAAAATGATGATTCTGACGACGATTTAGGGCACTTTGATGGAGGCGCTCCTTCGCCTCTACAAAGTCTTGGTGGATCGAGACCAAATTCACCCGAAAAGGATTTAGAAAAAACATTGACAACTGGTAATTTACAACAATTAGTTGAAGAATCGGAAAAAGAGCAAATTGAAGGTGGTGCGGGTGGCAGTGAGGAGGTTTTAGAAAAAAATGAAGATAACAATGAAACTGCTGTGGCTGACCAAACGACGTTAATTCATAACGAAGAAGAAAGTTTTGCTTTAGCTCCGGTAGACGCGTCTGCATATAGAGGTGTTACAAAGGCGAAACGGAAGCGAAAGTTGATTGTTGATGAAGTAAAAAATATTTCTGGTGAAGAAATGAAATCTCAATTAGCTAACACATCGGACATAGTAACGACGCTCGATTTAGCACCTCCCACGAAGAGGTGGTAGATCACTTCAGAAACTTATATTTATATTTTTATACTAATTAATTGCATTTTTAGGCTTATGTTTTGGAAAGAAACTGGTGGTGTCGAAAAATTATTTGCTTTACCTTCGCGAGACATTTCAGCGAGATCCTTATTTACAGTAATTATATTTTACTTAATTTTCTTGTTTTTTCTTTATAAATAATTTTCTTCGTAAATTAAAATTCGTATCATTACTGCAAGATGCAGCGATACATACAATAACAAAAAAATCAACAAACAAATCAGTGTAAATCTTCCTTCGCTTAAAAATTTTGATATAAGTATTTATATTCTGGTACATAATTTTATTGTAAATATTTACGTAAGAAAGCTTAGTTCTAATAAGAGGATTAGAAAGTTAAAACTTTTCAATAACTTATTAAGGCTTACTTTCAGTTTGGAGATGAACTAAAGATTCTTTGATTCTTTTCAGCTGTATCAAAGGCATCTATTATCTCACGCTTGTGGTGTTGAAGACTTTTCAATGTTAGGGCCGGCTGACGTACTTGCGATAGATCAACTGCAGCACGATTCAGAATCTCCCAATACAATTATACCAAACAAAAGAACTAACCGCAAACGGAAGTTGGTGGAAGAATTGCAAAAGCAGCATCAAATAGAGTCGGAACCACATCATCAAGAGGAGTTACGGCAGGAAGCAGAACAAGAGCAGCTGAAACAAACTTTAGATATAACCGGGGTATCGCAAGTCTCAGAAATCGATCAAGCTCGTGATATTGAAGCGCAAAGTCGAGTGTCGGCTATTTCGTTAGATATAAATAATGTTCCAGTAGATACAAGCATTCCACCTCAACCTCAAACGACAGAAGGTGAATCATTGTTAATGCCTCCTCCTGCGACACCAGGGCTTGATGCGGTGAGAAGTCCATCTCATTATCCCTCTTTACCTGATCTTGGTAGTTTAGGACCGATGACACCAGGTTTACCGGCAATACCCATGACTCCTGGTAATCTAAGTCATGGAATTGGTCTTCATGATGAATTCCCACATCCTAGTGCACTTACTCCAGCTGACTTACCTGATGGTGCTATTACACCGCATCATCCTGGAATAGAAAATATAGAATCTATACCAAATCTACCAGCTGATCAGGTTTCATCAATTTTAAGTGCCGCAGAAGGTGGAAATATTAGCAATGAAAACTTAGATTTAAGTGGTGGAGATAGATATGTTGGAGATAACAATGAATGGAATAACGATTACGATTTTCCTCAATCGGTGGCCCAGCATGTAAGAATTGATTTCTTTTCTTTGTATTTGTACAATATTTATTTGCTTTGCTTTTTAGCAACCCGGTGATGAACAGCAAGAAAATGAAACAGATGAGCAGTTTGAAGAACGCGTACTTAATAAACGTGCTGCACAGATGTTCTTTGCTGTAAAAAGAAAATTTGAAAAGAAAGAATCACTGATGTTGTCTGAAATGACATTTAGGAATAACAGAAAACAAGTAAAGTCTCAATATATTGTATTTTTTATTTTTTAAGAGATTTAAAATAATTTAAATTACTTTTTAGGCTGCACAAAAATTTTATTCATTGTTAGTATTGAAAAAATTTTGCGCACTTGAAATTTTTCAAGACGAACCATATGGTGATATTGCAGTGAAAAAGGGACCTATGTTCGATAATCCAAAATTGTAAATGATAATATATTTCCTTTTAATGATATATATTTTGTTATTTTTTAATTGTTTTTAATATTAATATATATATTTTTTTTCAATATTGATATTATTACGTTAGTTTTACTTTTGAATCAAAAACATATTATGTAAGCACATCAATATTAGTTTTATTTTTAAAAACATTTTTTGAATTCATTCATTATTTTTGTAAATAAATTAAAATTTTTAATAAAATTATTATCATAGAAAATTTATTACAAAAGTACATGTTTGGCCTTATCTTCCAAATTTAAGAAAATGGTAGACGTATTGACTCAAAAGAGTTTTTTTTAAATTAAAAAAGTATTTAATATTTATAAGAAAATCTAAAGAAAATAACTTCAAAAATGCATGCTTCAGTTATATTTAAAAAAATTTGTTAAGAATGTAAGAAATATAAATATTTAACATAATTGTAAATTATTTTGCATAATTTTTTTTGATTTTTATTTATGTGAAAATTAACTATTTTAGTTTTATGTTACTTAATTAAGTATAAATCCATCCTAATTTGCGTAAAGTATTTCAGTAAGTAAACTGGTTTTTAAATATTTCCATTGTGGTTTGAAAACTTTAATTTGATAGTGAGTAATAGCAGAGTTTTTAAAACGCAATGCAATTTTGCAACAGAAGTTAATTTGATTTAAAATAAAGTTACCAAAATTCCTTTTCTGATTATTTGAATAAATTTTTCTTAAAAAAAATTTGGTAATGATGTTTAACTTAGAAACTTTACGAATTTGTTGCAAATTCTTGTAAAATCTGTAAATAAAAAACTATTTATGTTAGGAATATTGAAAAAAAATTAAAATAAGCAAAAACTTTGTAAAAATAAAAATTAATAAATGTATAGGGAATATATTTAAAAAAAGATGTTGTTTTAATTTGGTTCTGAGTTTTTCCCTTCATATTTTACCGGATTTTTTAGCAAAATTCTAAAAACTCTAGCTTATGAGCCGTTTATTATTTGATAAACGGTAAATTGAGATTATTAAATAATAAAGCACATAAATATGTAAATGTACCTGATGTTAATTTCTCGTAATTATATTTTTTTGTAATTTAAATTTCAGAATGATCAGTATTTTTTTTTTGGATCTGGAACTGCACAGACCCGAAACACATTTATATTTTAGAATTCATACATACATTTATTTCCTTATGAATGCAGTGCAGTTGCTTAAATAAAAACCGGTCTTACATTTGAGACTGCATTTGCAAAAATACCCACAAACTACAATTGGTATTTTTACTAAGCGATGTAGTCAAGTATGTAATTACCAAATGTATTGTAGCGCTGTAACCAAGTCGTTTATTAGTATTATTTTACAAATGTATGTACGTATGTACATAAATGTAAAGTTTTTCATATATTTTTACCAACATTATAGATGTAGAACTAATATAATCAATATTGAGACTTCCAATCAAAACAAAGACCCTTAAAATGCAAATCTCATTAATTATGCCTATGATGCATTGATTACTGATGTATTTTGTAAATAATTAAATCATATTAAAGAAATGTGAGCTACAAAATGTAAGTATAAAACCATGAATTATATAGATAATAAAGCTAAGTTGATTAAAAAAAAGTCGAATTATTTTCAAATTTATCTTCTTATTTTATAGTATGTATTTTCATACACAGTAAAATAAATTTTATATAAAAGAGCTTTTAGTTATTCACAATTGTAAATTCACGTATTTAATTCAAATATGATTATTAGTTTAAGTAACTTTACCGTTTCTAGTGTGGCAAATTTTAAGTCAGTTTAAATTTAGATTTTGTCGAAATTGGTGATTCTTATCATAACGGTACTAAGACACGATTATACACTTTTTTTTTCAATTTTAAAAAAGAATTTTCGTCAATCTAATAAAAACATTGTTGCAAAAAAAAAAAAAAGACGAAAAATATAATTTATATTTTCAGTGAAATTTGTAAAAAAAATAATCCATTTTCTTATATTGACTTTTTAATTAAGCTTTAAAAATCTTTTAGCCTTTTTCAGGCTTATACATACTTGGTTTTAAATTTCAAACAGTAAACGAAAATCTGTAGTTCTTCAAAGTGTTTTTTTTAATAATTTGTTGCTTATTTTTTTCGTAAAATCTGTTCTAAAGCATTTATATTTTGTTAATAAAAGGTTGCAATAAAAAATCGAATAATTTTATGAAAAATTAATTTCGTCTGTTTACAACTTAAAATAAATTAGAAATTTTACACCGAAAACAATGTTTTTGCTATGAAATGTTTAAATGGTTTAAAAAAAAGTGAAATAAAAGATTTTTATATAATATTTATGTATGAATGTACAGCAAAAAGGTAAAATATAAATCGATACTATTTTTTTTTTTTTCAATTTTTACACTATTTGTATAACTTCTATAATTGTGTAGAGAATTGTGCAATAAAATTGATAATATATTATGGCATTAGCTTGTCATTGAAAATATTAATTTTATTTTTGTAAAGTAAAATTATTTAAGTTTTACAGATCTTTTGTGTTTAAAGTTTTCATAATTACGAGCATGATGAAAAAAAGGAATTTTATAAAATTTTTAATTAGAAATCGCGTTTTTAACAATACAATTCCTAGATTACAATATTACATAATATTATAGATTATAATTATATTTATATGCAGTTCTATTTACTAAATAATTATATATTTACCTATACATAATAAAAATCGTAGGTGAAACGGCGATGTTATAAAAAAAATATTTTTTCCATTAAGTATACAATTTAAATATTAGGTATATAATTACATATTATATATTGCTATAGTTAGTATATATTAAGTAAACATCTAAGAAGGGTACCAAAAATATTTCTATGTCAATAGATTTCACTTTCTAAATGTTATGTGTTATACATGTGTCTAATTTTTTTATTGAAGGCTATTGAAAATTTTTAAAATGAGAAACTATTTTAATATCTTCCATATGATCTTATTTTTAATATTAATTGATGAATTACGCCTTTAGATGACTATAACATATTTGTATGTATCATATGTGTCCATATCAGTATAATATATCTTGTTTCCTTTTTAAAATTATTTTCAATAAAGATGAAATTTAAAATTTTCTAACTTTTGCTATAAATTTTCAAATATTCGTATCATGTTTATATAATTGATATAATAAAAACAAGCAATGATTTGTGCATCCTTGCAATTGATTATATCTTCCAACCAATATCATTAATACGTATTACGTATTGTTTAACTTAATATTTAAATGTACATAAGGATCCTAATAAATTTTATTGCTTTTGCTATGTTTTTATAACTTTCACTTCACTCAACTTCTAACCAAATAAATAGTTGTTTTTCAGCAAATTTTGCCTGCTAATGGTATTGCTTATAATGGTATCGGTGCTTAATTTGCTTATAATGTTAAGCCTAGACGTAGAATTTACGAGAACTAATCATCATAGTTTTTGTTATAAGTATTATAGCAATTTTTAATATTAATACAGATTTCTCGTAGAAAACAATTTGGTAATAAGGTATACAAATCATTATGGAGATATTCTAAGAAAAAACCATCTAATGATTAATACAAATAATATAATATTATGCATAAGAAATCGTTGGAAAATATTATACAGTGATACTTTAAAATTTAAATCTTAAGTAAAACCGCAATATAAATGTTGGAAAAAACTAATCGTATTTATAATATATAACGTATATAACATTCAAGGACATAGAAGAATATAAAAGTAACTATATAGAATGATAATTATTAATTACCAAATAAATACTCAATTTTTTTTTTAGAAAGTTTAAATTTAAACATGTTATTTAAATTATGTATTAAATTATTTTTTAAAATCTCCAATTTTTAATACCCATACATTTTTTCTACTTTGATATAAAATTATATAAAAACAAGGCGTATGTGCATACTTATATGCTATTTTTCAATTTTTTTCGTCTTTACATAAAAAATATTATAGTTCTATGGTTCTAATTAATTATGTTTTCTAAAATAACAAATTGAAAATAAAATAGCAACAAATTTTTCAAATCAATAGTAAAATTCATTGCGTTCGTGTGTCGTGTAAATAAGGTGCAAAGAACGCAATGAGGTGGTTTACATTTCAAGAGTTCATTTACATTTGTCTATTATTGGAATTAAGAAATGTTGTTAGTCTAGTTAGAATTTTAAAAATTATTTTAATATGGTTAACTTAGAATCAGAAACTTGGTTTGAAAAATTTTTAATTTTACATTTATTAAATTTTTAGAACAAATTTAAATAAAAAACTAAAATATTAATTAAAATGCTATGAAAAAAATTCAGATATTGTAAAATATAAGGTGCAACAAATTATATTAATGTACCTACTTATATGACTTTACAAACATACATATATGTACTCGCACATAAATTATGTATATAAATATTATATTTATGGTTGTTTGAGGTTATTTTTGTTCTATGCATTATTCTAAGCTCTCAAGTTGTTTAAAGCAAATCATTTTGAAATTGTGTTACGTTTTAAATAAATATCTGAATAAAAAAAACTTTTCGTATGGGTACAGACATACATAATATGTACATTTATGTAATTATAACAAAATAAGAGTTTCATTGAAATAAATTCAAAAATCAAGAGATTTTATATATAATTTTATATGTATCGATAAACTTCTTTGAGTAATAAAACTACACTAAACAAATTAGTTGTATCATTGTACCATTCGACTTGCTTGTTTGTCTGGCATCTATCTTAATTTAATAATTCATTTAAATGGATTGCCTAACATACATATATAAGATTAGAATACAAAAAAAAAGAAACAAATTAATTTGATTCTGACCAAAACCAGACCTAATTAATTTGATTTTGAACTGCATGTTTTAAACATCTCTAAAAATTAATTAATTTTTAAGACAATTTTTTTAAGACTTCTCTTAAAAATTAAGAAGCAACAATAAATCACTTGCGTAGTCGAATAATAGTATCTTCATGTCGTCTATTGAGAAATAACCCAGTGTGCGATCGGTATAGTTTGTATACGATATACACTGTTTCATTTCTCAACGACGATATATTTTATCGTCGATTCGGAATGCTTTGTATTCCGAAGATACGTAAAATACAGAATCAAGCAATATGCTTATTTTAAGCCCTTTACTAGGCATTTTAGAAACTGTTCCAAAAGGCTTAGTAAAGGCCTAGTAAGTTCCTATCTTTTTCAGCACGACAGTTGTAATAAAAAAAAAACTTGATTAGTAAAAATTTTGTAAAAATTGGTAAAATCCCTGGAATTTGGAAACCCTTGTGATTTGGCACCCAATCTGAAACAAATGTTTTATCCATTTCTTCAAGAAATTTCTTCAGTGCGAAAACCGCCGTGCACATCCTGTGTGACTGCTCGGTACTGGCTATCCGGCGTCGTTATTATTTTAGACTTGTAATTATTTCTCCCTTGGGGATATCTCCAGCTTTATACTTGAAGCGGAGATATTATAGGCGGTTCCTTTAAAAATCCACAATTTCCATAATTAAGAATTTTCCTCTATTGGTTACGGATTCAGATTTTGCATTTTTCATGATTTTGGAATTTTAAAACAATTTGTAGATTTTTTTTAAACAATTTTCTTAGTAAATGAAATAAATATAAACAATTAAATAAAAGCAGTATTACATATACTTATGTATATAGCTCTATATATAATTTAAGATTTTTCAAATATAAAAGTTTATAATGTGGTCTCTTACATTATTAACTTTTCAATTAAATATTAAATTAATATTATAATAAAATTTGGTTTTATATATTATATTACAAATATATGTACATATGTATGTTGGTCTTAATATTAATTATGATTTGAGGTACTGATAATTCCACAACGTGAAATATTTAAATACGTATAATAACATTATTTTTACAGATGTTTTAAGAATGTTTTAAAAATGCTTGTTTTCGATAACTAGTTTGTATTTATTGAAATTGACTTCCGAATTCATATGCTATATGTATTGTTTGGAAAGTATAATTATATTAACCTATATATATATATATATAGGTGTTGTATTATTTGACATCAATTTTTGCAAAAGTTATTATACTTTGACTACAATTTTAAGAATAATTTCACTTTTAAAAGTTTTACTTTAAAGAAGCTCGATTTACATGAATGCTAACAAAAATTTCGTTATTATTTTTTTGATGCAGTTCCAAATTCAATTTTAGAAATCAATTTTACAAAATTTTGTTACATTTCGACTGGAACAACAACAGGTTTACGTATTTTTAGATCATGTAACATTTATTTTCGTTGTGATATACTTTTAGTTCATTTTTGAATTTTGATGCCATAAAATGTAAATAAGTGTATGTACGTCATAATTATTATAAATACATTTTTTCCTATTCATTAATATAAAAATATATAAAGCATTTTCTATTTACGTTCACTAGCTGATTAAAAAGTATAATTAATATTGTGAATTAAATTAATTTTTAAGATAAATTGTCTCATTTAATACATAATATATCGAAATGTTTTTAAGATTCTAAAGCCAATTAATAATTATATTTATTTTTATAGAATTGATAGAATTATTTATAAAAAAATTGATTTAATTCAATTTATATAACTAGCAATAAAAAAAATCATGCACTGAATGATTGGATGTACTTAGGATCCAATCGATATTAAACAAATATGTAATTATTATACAAGCATGCACATATTTTTCTAATTGAATAAGGCGTCTCCCTAAAAAAGATCAAAATTAAATAAAATTTAAAACGCATTCCAATTCATGCTGAATGTGCACTGCATGTACATATTAAAAAAATACGATCAAAATGTCATTGTACTCTTGATAACAATTAATAATAAATTTATATTTGTTGATTTATTCAATGAAATTGAAAATATATTAAAAAAAAAAATTTGTACTACATATTTAAATTTTTAATAATATTTGTCAGTTAAATAATTAAAATATTTCACACAACAGCCAATGTTTATCCTTTTTAATAAAAAAAGCAGATGTTTATAATTTTTAAGGTTACTGAACTAAAACAACAAATTCTTACAGTAATTCCATTGTATATACTCGTAGATACTAGTAGACTGCGAATTATTGTATTTTTTTTTAAATTTATAATAAATATATGTAATTATGCATATTATCAAAATAGTATAGTTTATTTAGAGTATTGGATCAGTAAAATTGTAGCGTTTAATTTAAGTAATTTTTTTTTTGCAATTTGAGAAGTGAAAAATTTTAGGGTTCAAATTTTTGAAGGAAGCATTTAATTTAATAATACAAGTGTATATTTAATA